CCCTGCCACCCTTTATCCATCCACTCCTTTATCCACCCTCCCATCCATTCATCCATCCACTCATCCATCCACCCTCCCATCCATCTGCCCGCTCATTCATTCAGCCATCCACATGTTTATCCAGCCTTCCATCCATCCATTCACTCATCCAGCTACCCACCTTCTGATTCATCCACTCATCTACACACCCTGCAGTCCATCTATCCACCCATCTATCCAACCATCCATTTATCCTTCCATCCACCCACCTGTTCATCCATGCACTTGTCCCCTCCATCCGTCCATCCATCCACCCACCCATCCATGTACACTGAGACTCTTCTGAGTACAACAGGGTGCTGTGCTGAGTGCAGGGACATGGGGACAAAGGGTGAGGAAAGTGACCCCCATTCTCCGAGAATTCCCAGTCTCCTGGGGAACCAGACCCTTCCACAAGCTGGTCCAAAATGAGGTCATCGGAGATAACCCCCGTAGCCCAACGGAAACTGCTCCACTCACAGCACCCAAGCCCAGGCCCTCATTGACTCTGACACCAGCAGACCTGCGAAGAAGGGCAGCAGGGCAGACCCTGGCTGCACAGCCTTCTGTGCACTGGGCATTCGCGAGCCCTCTCAGGATGGACCTGATACGCTTTGCTTTTCCATCAGAGTCTGGTCCAGGGCTCTCCACCAGGCCTGCGTGTCAGAGTCTCCTGGGAGACGCTTTAAGTAGCCTCTGTTGTTCAGGTGCGGCCCAGGTGTGGACACTTCTCTAGGTGACTGAGATGAGCAGCCAGCTCTGAGAGCCGCTAGCAGGACCGAAGCCACCCCAGTGCAGGTGTGGAGGACACGCGGGGCAGGGATGTTGCTGGTTACCTTCACACCCCCAGAGTCACGCTGGCTGGCTTTCATTCTGCATTTTCTCTGCCCGGGCTCGGTGGTGACCACAGGTTTCAGATGGAGGAACCTGTGCAGACAGGACAGGCAGTCACCAGGACCACCTGGTGGCTAAGGGGGCATTGGAGCCCATGCCTGTGCCTTCCAGGGTCTGGATCCCTACGCTCGGCTCTGAAACCTCCCCTCCCTTGCCAGCCCCCCGGGCAGGGTTACAGTTCCATGTGGAGTTGCAGACGGTGGGTTTGTGGTCCCGGCTGCCGGCGCTGCTCTCCGGGGCCGCGCTGTACTAGCCTGGCAAATCACTTTGTCTCTGCACCTCAGTTTTAGCTGGGAAATGGGGACGTGCACTCCATGAGTGAACGTCTGCAAAATCAGGAAGCACCATGGGATCAAATACACTGTTTTTATTCTAACGTCACAAATGTGCCTAAAATGTCCCCATCAAGGGGCCACCACAGATGCCCATGGATCTGGCACACACTGCCGGAGCCCCCGCCTTTATGCTGGCAGGTTCCCCTGACACTCGTTAGCTCAGGGCTCTGGGCTCCAGCCCTGCAGAACCTCAAGTGGGGGTGACTGGCAGCTGTCATTCAGCCCCAAGTAGAATGACAGGGATGAGGCCCTGCAGAGGGGTGGAGGTAGGGTGAGACGGAAGCAGATGGGACAGGAGCTGCCCTTCCTTCTTTTCTTTTTTTATCCCAAGACGGGGTCTTGCTCTGTGGCCCTGGCTGGACCACAGCGATGTGACCTTGGTTCACTGCAGCCTCAGGCTCCAGGCTCAGGCAATTCTCCTGCCTCAGCCTTCCGCATAGCTGGGGCTATAGGCATGCACCTGGCTAATTTTTTTTAATTTTTTTGTAGAGTGGGTCTCACTGTGTTCCCAGCATGGTCTCGAACTCCTGGTCTGAAGCAATCCTTCCACCTCAGCCTCCCAAAATGCCAGAATTACAGGCGTGAGCCACCACCCATCAAATATTTCTCAACGAAGTCCCCTCCCCACGTCTGCAGGGCCTCATGCTGCACCGTTCACTTTCCTTCACTCTCTTGCTCCTGTTTACTGATTTTGTCTCTGGCCACCCTGGATGTTAGATGCTCTGCAGCCCTCCTGGGTGCCCCCCTCTTCCCTCTCCTCCTCCCTCATGGATCCATCCCTTCCCATGGACTCGGTCACCAACACGTGTGCTAACAGCGGACAATGGGACCTCACCAGTTACCTTGGAGCAGTGAGCTGGCGTCCTCCCTCGAGCGTGTGCATGCACCTGTGCGCGCTTCCCTCCTGTGGCCCAGGAGTTCGAATGCCCCCCCAGTTTCTGAGTCTGCAGAGAGAGGGAAGGGACAAGCTGGCTTTTCGGAGGGGTGGGGACAGGAGGAGGACTGCATTTCTGCTCCTTAGGTTCTTGCTTAGCAAGTCTGTCACAGGGTGGCGAGCACAGGGACGGCCCCTGCTGCAGAGCCCAGGGACGGTGGGCACTGGGGGCATCAGGGAGCAGGGCACAGCTGGGCTGCGCAGGCTCCACCCTTCCAGCTGGGCACACCTGCCCCAGGTTGCTGGGCCCCTGGGCAGAGGGTTTGGGGCCGATAAACAGGAGGCGTAGCCGGGCCTGAAGCAGAGCACCCAGCCTGGGGCCATCGCCTAGGGCCATCTCCCTGCTGCTGCCAGGCCCTGTGCTGCCCCCAGTGCCGTAACAAGGCTTTGACATCCAGGCAGGTATTTTCTGAAGCTTTCCTTCCCCACTGGACTGCAAGTCCCGCCAGCAGGGAGCAGGGGTGTTGGGGTTGCTGCCCACACAGCCCTTGCCCTGGCATGGGCCTAGCACTCAGGCATGGGCCTGAGACAGGCTGAAACCCTCCTGGCCCCACTGACAAACCTCATAGTACCCATGCAAGAGTTGTGGGGTGGTCTCAGCGCAGTGGCTCACACCTGTAATCCCAGCACTTTGGGAGGCCGAGGTGGGTGGACACCTGAGGTCAAGAGTTCGAGACCAGCCTGACCAATATGGTGAAACCTGGTCTCTACTAAAAATACAAAAATTAGCTGAGCATGGCGGTGAGCGCCTGTAATCTCAGCTACTCGGGAGGCTGAGGCAGGAGAATTATTTGAACCCAGGAGGCAGAGGTTGCAGTGAGCCGAGATCACGCTACTGCACTCCAGCCTGGGTAACAGAGCAAGACTCTGTCTCCAAAAAAAAAAAAAAAAAAAAAAAAGAGGTGTTGGGTGGATTCGTAGGAATGAAGGAAGGATGCAGAGGACAGGCAGGGGATCGGGGAGGCAGGACAGGTGGACATGCAAGGTCCACCTGTGAGGGGCGCATGGGCACGAGGGGTTCCTCCTCAGCCAGGGGAGGCACTGCCCGGAGCCCAAGAAGACAGGAGCCAGGCAGAGGGGATGTGTGGATGTGGAGAGAGGCAGGAGAGAGACCACCCTGCACAGGCAGCCCCCAGCCTCTGCCTGCATCTAGCAGGTGCTCACTCACGTATGTGGTGTGAACAAAGTGTTTGTGGCCCCGGGAGACGGGATCATGGGGTAGAGGTAGGGGAGAGGGGGTGAGCAGCTGCTTCCCTGCCGGGCACGCCTCCCTGCCACCGAAAACCCCACCTTTGGCAAGGACTCGGATTCCTGCCTGTCCCTGCCAGGGCAGCTGTGATTGTCAGTCCATCCACATCTGAGCAGGGCTCCTCACCCACGGGCTGGCTGCTCCAGGCAGAGGCGGCGTCCGTCCTTCCAGGCAGTGGGGCCTCCGCACCGTAGACTCCTGGGGGGCGAGTGCCTCGCCTGCTCAGGGGGTCCTGGGCCCCAGGCTGTGTCTGCAGCAGAGGACAGCGAGTCGGGGAGGCTAGAGCCCGTCCCCTCTGCCGCCTCCAGCTGTACCTGGCTCTCCCGCCTGTGGAAGGCCCCAGCCCTCCTCCTGGGGTCATAGGGCTTCCCGTCAGGACGGCTTCTCAGGTCCTAGGTCAGTGGTTCTCACCGCACCCAGATTGCTGGAGGAGGCCTGGGGTGCACCCTGGAATCTGCATGGCCCACCCAACAGGCTCCCAGGTGCTGCTGATGCTGCGGGCCCAGGCAGTCCACTTTGACAGTGACTGTCCTAGATCGCTTCTGGGGCCCTGCTGGAGGGCCTGGGCTTCCAAGGCCTCTGAGAGTGGCTTGGGGAGCTGTTTTTCCTCTTGGCCAGCCAGCCTTCGAGGCGGCACAAGCAGATCTTGATGGGCTCCTCAGAGATCCTTGAGACAGAGGCTGGAACCCTCCCAGCCCCCCTGACAAGCCTCGGTCGGGGAGACGGAAGGCCGGAGTGCAGCTTCTGCGGTCACATCCAGGGATCCAGGGCGGGCTGGGCATCGCTCTCTCACCCCTGCTTTCCAATGACAAAATCAAGGCTTAAATTTTTTTTTTTCTTTTTGAGATGAAGTTTTGCTCTTGCCCAGGCTGGAATGCCGTGGCATGATCTTGGCTCACTGCAACCCCCGCCTTCCAGGTTCAAGTGATTGTCCTGCCTTAGCCTCCCGAGTAGCTGGGATTAGGAATTTTAGTAGAGACCAGGTTTCACTACATTGGTCAGGCTGATCTTGAACTCCTGACCTCAGGTGATCCACTCACAGAGGCTTAAAATTCTTCAGGAGGTGGGAAGCAGGTGGGTTGGCTCTAAAGGGTAGGAGGAGTCGTCTTCTCAAACATTCTGTGTCTTGAGTGAATCCATGCCAGTTTTCCGGTGGCGATGGTTTTATGGACATTACGGTGGGGACCCTAGGCAGAAGGTGTACGGAACACTCTGTTATCTCTCACAACTGCATGAGCCTAGTTAACTTAAAATGGTTAATATTTAGAAAAATCGGGTGGTTTAGAAAAACACTTTGGTCGTTCGTGTTCTCAGGTCTGACAAGTGTGAGTAAACGGGCTCAAACCCAGGGGTGTCTGACTCCAGAGCCAGGCTCCCCAGCATCCCCAGCAAAGCACCCCCTCCTGCTCTGAGCTGCCCATGCCGGGGACCCCCCACCCCATGTAGGAGCTGGGAAAAGGCTGCTGAAAGCACTGCTGGAGAAGCTCTGCTCAGCTGCAAGGCCCCATCCTCAGGGGCTCTGGGAAGGGGACAAGATTCTAACCAGGACTTGCTCTCTCTCCTTCCACAGAGCGATCAGGACGCCACGGCTCCGCCTGAAGCGATGGCCCAGCCCTACCCCCCAGCCCAGTACCCCCCTCCGCCACAGAACGGCATCCCTGCCGAGTACGCCCCTCCCCCACCGCACCCCACGCAGGACTACTCCGGCCAGACCCCGGTCCCCCCAGAGCATGGCATGACCCTGTACACACCAGCACAGACCCACCCTGAGCAGCCAGGCTCCGAGGCCAGCACACAGCCCATCGCCGGGACCCAGACAGTGCCGGTAAGGGCCCCCACGACCCAGGCCCAGACCTAGAACTTCAGGGAACAGCCCCCACCCAGAAGAAGGGTGGCCCAGGAGGGCCTGAGGTGTCAGCTGGGTGGGGGGCCTGCTCAGAGGGTCCTGGGCCCCAGGCTGTGTCTGCAGTGGAGGACAGCAGGAGCAGGACCAGGAGCGCAAGAGGCCTGCCCTCCTCTGTGTGTGGGCGACAGGCCCTTTACGGGGTTCCTGGGCCAGAGGTCGTCACCTCCGGCGAAGGTGCTCCCAGCCCTGCTGGACCCCCAGCACCGAGGAGCTTTGTGATGAGCAGGTGTCTGGAGGGACAGCTGGGCACCGAGGCATGGGGTGGCAGCTGCCCTCCTCCAGCCGCCCGGGCCTGGCCGCGCTGCTTTGAGCAAGCTCTCACCCCAGCTGGGGAGGTGTCCTCGCTGCCAGAGACCTGTTAGTGGAAAGCGAAGGAGACGGGCGGAGGGCAGAGGCAGAGCCTTGGAGGCCACCCTGGGCCCTCCGAGCTGTCTCGCGTTGCAGGCCCTCCTATGATTTCTAATCGCTTGTAATCTACCTGCTTGGCTGGCCTCCAATCAGATAGCTTCAATTATGTGGTTGTAATGCAGCTCCCAGGCAAAAGTGCTGAGCCCTCACTTCTCAGATTTCCTGAGAGCAAAGAGAGCTGGCAGGGCGTGGCCAAGCAGCAGGCCTGGGGTGGGCGCCGGGTACAAAAGCCCAGGCCCTGCCTCTACCCACTCCCCAGAGCCCCTGCCAGCCTCTTCCTTTTCCCTGGTCCCCTCCACTGAGATCCCCATGTGCCTCCCCTGCCCCTGCTCAGGCTCCAGGTTCATCTAACCGTCCCTGCTGGCCCCGTCCCAGCTGCTGGCTGTGCTAGCTGGCGGGGCTGGGCAGGAGGCCAGAGCCCTCTGCACTGCCCGGGAGTGGCACCGCCCTGGCGGCTCCCAGTGGGGGTCCCCGCCCAACTGTCCCCTCAGCCCTCCTGCAGTCCAGCCTGGCTCCCAACATCCTGCGTGGGTCCAGATAGGAGCCTTCCCTTGGTGCGTGCATGGGCAGAGGCTTCCTCCAGCGTCACCCAGGTCCTCTGCAGAGAGAGCCCCCCCAGCCGCCTCCTAGGCTGGACCTGACCCTCACCTGGCACCCAGCCGGTACCCTTCCTCCCTGCTTGGAGCTCTGCCCAGCCTGAGTCAGCCCTAAGGCCATCAGCCTTTCCAGCTCCCCAGCATCCTGAATGTCTCCCCAGGGTTCCTACAGCCACAGGCCACAGATGGAAAAGGCCAGGCCCTAGGGTGGTAGAAGTGGGGGGCCAAGCCATACTTCCCCAGCTGCTCTGATTCTGATTCATCAAACCAACACCCTGTGTGTGCTTAGAAAAGAAGGAGATGATCCCAAGAGCCAGGGCGGGTTCAGCCTAAACGAGCGGGTCTGGAGCAGGTGGAGTCTCTTTGTCACGGACTCTGGTAGACACGGCTCATCTGCTCAAACCTCTGACCTTAGGGACAAATGAGGTGGCTCTTGTGGTGAGACCCAGGGGTTTGTCCTGGGAGAAAGCCGGAAGCAGGAGGGTCAGATGCACAGATAACAGAGTGGGGATGGACCTAGCACTTGAACTGAGCAACAGAACCAAGGCTAGATGTCTCCTGGACGCCTGGGGCCACCAGACACAGCCTACCAGGACACATGTAAAGTCTTCCTTCACTCAGCAGATGTTTGCCGGGCACCTGCCATGTGCTAGGCACTGAATTGGCACCGAGGCTACAGAGGAGAAAGGACCCAGCCCTGTCCCCCGGTTCCTGCCATGCATGGATGGGAAAGTCAGAAAGGGAGGCTGTCTTGGGCCTGGCTCACCCGTGAGAGTCCACGGACCGTGGACAGAATCCGAGTGAGCAGCAGCTGCTGCAAAGGCGAACACTGCATCCCGATGAAGTCCTCTCCAACTAGGAGGATGGGAGTCCCACTGCTCAGCCGCCAGCCTCCGGAGCCTCCCAGGGAGCGTGATCAGGCGGGGAGCACCCAGAGCCCGGGGGACAGACAGCCGGCTTTGACCTTCCTTTCTTCAGGCCAAGGTCTCTCAGGTCTGGCAGAGTTCAGGGTCATGGTCTGCAGATCTTTCATCCAGGGACTCAGAGGAGAGAGTCATTCTCCATGACCTGCACCCAGGCCGCCTCGGCGTGGTGCCCCAGGAAGAATGAAGACCCGGGCAGCCTCGGCAGCCATGCACCCTCCGACCTTGGAGTGTTTGTTCAAGTGGAGCCTTCCTACCTTGGAAGGCAGCTGGAGAATGTGTTTTAGATTCCAGGAGCCCCTTCCTCCCAGAGGCTGCCCGGCACTCGCAGCTGAAGGCCGAACACCTCTATGCGGGCTCTGGTGTCCCCAGGCCCTGTCTCAGCAGGGCCTGTTCAGCTCACTCCAGCCTTCCCTTGGCCCTGCCCAAGCAGACTGGTATTGGGATCTAGAGCTTCGGGATAGGAAGTGGGGTGAGCTCAGAGCTTTGATCCAGACCTGCCTAAGTCAGAGTCTCCCTGAGCTCCTGGGGCACTCGAGGGCCCACATGCAGCCACCAAGTACCCAGGTCTCTTCTTTCCCCGCCATCCATAAAGTGCCACCCAGGGAACCCTCCCCCCCACTGAGAGCCTGCTGCCCAGGTTGGCACCAGGTCAGGGCATGCAAACCCCTAGATACTCCCTGGACCCAGATGCCGCCCAGGCCACCAGGACTTCCTGCTCTCTCCCCCAAGGGGACTTCCTTCTGCTGGTACACATGGGCTGCCCTGGCAGGAGGCGTGGCCCTGGCCAGTGGAAAGGGGAAACTCGGGATGCCTGTCCAGCCCCCATATCACCCGCCCCCCTGGTAGCTGTGGCAGAGCCGGCCGCTAGACAGCAGGCTCCTGTCCAGGTCCAGGGCCCCCACAGGCAGCCTGTTGCATCTAGGACCTGGGGCTGATGGCATCTGGGAGAGAGCAGTGGCCCGTGCCCCCATCCCCTCGCCTCTGCCTCCCTGTCTCCTCCACCCCAGGGCCCTCAGGCACTTTGGGCCCCAGCCCGGGAAAGGCTTTCCTGGAATTTCTAAAACCACAAGGCCTCTCTCTGCTGCTCCTGCCCTCTAGAGGGTTTCCAGCCAGGAATCAGTGGGACGTCTGTGTTCAGCCAACTCAGGGCCTTTCATGACACCTCCACCACCCAGGTGGGATGCACCCCCAACCCCTAGTCACAGGGGCACAGCTGACCCTGCAGAGAGAAACAGGGTTCCTGTGGGCCACTGGTCCCTCACCAACACTGAGACTTCTACAGAAGGCAGAGCACGTGCTGATTTGTGTGGTCTCAATGTCCTCGGGTGAGTCCCGACCACCGCCAGCGGCTTTGTAGCTGCGTCATTCCCCAGGAAGCCTCCTCCCCTCTGAGCAGGACACCTCTTTCCACCATCCAGAAATATGGAGGCTCCTTCCTGGTGGGGCAGGGGCATCTCCACTCATCCGTGATGGGAAGGGACATGCAACAAGAACCACCCGCACCCGCACACAGCCTCTGTTGCTCTCACTTGTCACCACAAAGTCACCTGCCTTCTCTGGACAAAAGCAGCACAGGCTACAGAGTAAGATGAGGGGCTGCAGAAGGATCAGCGACCCCATCTCGCTACCCTGCGCCACCCCAGGGTCTGTGTTCCCTGCCGGGGTCACCATCTGGAACAGCTACTTATTCACTCACTCAGGGTCACACACATGCCAGCACTGTGGGCCCTTGGGGGTCACACCCTGTTTTTATGCCCAAGGGACCCTCATTTTGCTAGGAGACTAGGATGGGCCAGGCGCACTGGCTCGCTCCTGTAATCCCAGGACTTTGGAAGGCCAAGGTGAGCAGATCACTTGAAGTCAGGAGTTCGAGACTAGCCTGGCCAACATGGTGGAACCCTGTCTCTACAGAAATACAAAAATTAGCCAGGCCCACGTGGTGGCATGCACCTATAATTCTCGGGAGGCTGAGGCAAGAGAATCGCTTAACCCAGGAGGTGGAGTTTGCAGTGAACTGAGATTGCACCGCTGCGCTCCAGCCTAGGCAACAAAGTGAGACTCCAAGGAAAAAAAAGAGAGAGGAAGAGATTAGCATACAGATAGAAAGTGCTGGACAACCAGGCTCACACCTGTAATCCCAGCACTTTGGGAGGCCGAGGCAGGCGGATCACCTGAGGTCGGGAGTTCAAGACCAGCCGGACCCACATGGAGAAACCCCATCTCTACTAAAAATACAAAATTAGCCGGACGTGGTGGCGCATGCCTGTAATCCCAGCTACTCGGAGACTGAGGCAGGAGAATCGCTTGAACCTGGGAGGCAGAGGTTGCGGTGAGCTGAGATTGCATCATTGTACTTCAGCCTGTGGCAAGAGGGAAACTCCGTTTTGAAGAAAAAGAAAATGCTAGACAAAGCACAGAGGGTCACTGTGGAGGCTCAGCCATGTAGAGGGAGACAGGGGATGAGACCAGCATTTTCCAGAGCCCACGTGGGCTCGACCATCTGCCAGAGGGGACTTCCCTGGGGTCGGAAGGGCCTGATGCCCGAGGGGCCAGCGCCTGCCCCGCTGCCCACTGGGGATCTGGGCTCTGCACCTCTGGCTTCACTCCAGGTCCCCAGAGGCCTCTCTGCCTGGTGACCTGCAGCCCCAGGATGAACCTTGCCCTCTCCGCCATCCGTCGGGCCTGAGCCTCCTCTCGGAAGCTCCCACACTTTCCCCAGTCTTCCACTTGGGCCACATCATCTGTAACTGCTGCCTCACCATCCTGCTCAAGGCTCTCTCCCCTCCACGAGGAGCCGCAGTCCTCGGTCACTGTGATCTTGGCTCTCACAGCTTACAGAGGGGGTGAGGGGTAGGCCGTGGCTAGTGGCTGACGTGAGAAAGGCAGAAGAGAGGAGGTATTGGTCCCCAAAGCCACACCACAGTGAGGCTCAGCTGAGATGCCCCTACCCAGGCAAGGGGTGGGAGTGGACGAGGCGGCAGTCGGCTGCCCATGCCACAAGTGCAGAGGCCAGCAGTGGGGCTCGGAATCCTGTGTCCTTCAAATGCCACGTGGGAGCCCACAGCTCCGCCCAAGGAGGGGCTGAAGAAGACACCCCAGTGGATGGCTTGAGGCTGCACATGGAGAACCCCTCCTCCAAGGCTGACTGGCCGCCCACCGGAGGCTCACCAAATCGGGTCCTTGCCTGAGTGCCCAGGAGGCCTCTGGAGGAATGAGAAGATTCGGCGCTACAGAGGAAGGAATTTCCAAACACCGGTTCATCTTGCGCCACGGCAGCACCGCTTGGCTCCATGCCAACACGACCACCAGGCCCCACCTGCTATCCAGGGTCTGCCTGTGCCCACCAGCCCCCGCCGAGAGCTCCCTCCCTTTGCTTTGCACTGCGCCAAGCTTGGGGGCCCAGGCAAAAGTGGGTGCAGGCTCCTCAGAGGATGTGGAGGGTGAGAGATGCTTGTGGCATCTAGACCCCCACCCCGAACTTGAATGGGCTTGGGGGGCATCCATAATGGCTGGGCCAGGACAGAGCTGGGAAGGACGCAGAATCAGGACCTCCAGGCCAGCAGGGAGGGAAGGATGTTTTCTCTTTCCCTGCATTTGAGAACCAGAGGCAAAGATGGCTTAAAAAAAAAAAAAAATGTGGGGAAGGGAAAGCCCCTGAGAAAGGTCGCAAAGCAGTGGAGGCTGCTGGACTGCTGCCGTCTGTGGGAGGAGGGCCCCCGGCCCGGGGCAGTCCGTGTGCAGCCACGCTCGGGGCTTCTCCGCACACCGGCCAGTTTCACAGCCATGGGACCCACTTGCCCTCTGCCCGGGGCTGAGCTGGGGGAGCAAGGACAGAGCAGCTGCTCACTCACCTGTGTCCTGGCCCCACTCATGGCTCCTCCCACTCACACCCCACTACCCCACTCCTCCCACCTCACCCCCGGCTGCTCCCCTATAAGGCTTTGGGTGGGTGTCCCAGCTCCCGTGGTTGGGCGTGGGCCGGTTCCCGTCGACGTGGCCGCCCCAGCATGCTGACCGCCGCCCTCTGCTGCTCAGGGACCAGAGTTGTGTGCCCCTAACCAGGCTGGGATGACTCAGTCACCTGTACCCAAGAGCAGCAGAGGCACGGGGCAAGTTCCTGTCCACCGAGGAGGAACGAGCTGTGCCTGTCGGACTAGAGCGTGGGTTCAGACCTCCATAAGGATCAGCGGATTCCTGGACGGTCTCGTCTTGGTTCAGGGGTGAGGTTGTCCCCTCCAGAGGTCTAGCACGGGCTTGCTTTCTGCAAAAAAGCTTGGGACCAAAGCAGACGGCAGCAGAACTGGGAAGCTGGCTACTGGGTGTGTCAAGGTCCCCAGGCTTGGATGGAGGAGACCCTCGCGTGCCCCTGTGGAGCCGGAGTCAGCTGCCCTGTGTTGCCCCCCCCCCCGGGGGCTGGATGCCAGCCAGACCAGGAGCTCCAGACATCGGTCATCCACCCTTCTGGCCCTGTCAGCTGTGCCGACCACGGATGCCTCCATGCCAAAGTCCAGCCCCCACTGACGGGGGCGGCTCATGTCAGGGAACCCTAAGGAGCGGCCACCCCCCTTCTCCAAGCCTGGGGCTCCTGTTTTCCAAGAACCATGGCTGCTTTCCACCTCTTGGGGTCCCAAGAGAGATGGGGGATCTACCCACAGCCTCACGCCTTGGGAACACATTCGTCAGTATTGGGTCAGCACACCACATGGCCAGCCTGCTGAGACGGGGCCGCAGTGCACGCCCAGGTGAGCGCCAGGACGGCGGTTCCCATGCTGTGAGATGTGTGCCGCTTCCTCACTTCTCAACGCAGGGGACAGAGCTGCATCAGGGACATGGACACAAGCGCCCCGCAGTCCTGCAGCCCTCTGGACCCCACTCCCCGCCGGCCCCACTGCCGGAGCTAGGGGCTGTCGCCAGGGAAAAAGCTTTGGTATGGGGAAGGTTGTGTCCTCCACCTCCCTGAGCAGTCCAGGAAGTGGCGACATCCTCCCTGGTCACCTAGGGGCACCTGCTGCCCTGGAGCCTGGTCAGAGGCCTGCTGGCCACAAGCAGAAATGCCAGGGAGTGGCCTGTCCTTCCAGAAAAGATAACCAAGGTGGCCGTGCAGGGGTTAGCGACAGCCGGACAGCCACTCAGACAGGACTCGAGGGACCAAGCTCTGGCCACGTAGCTGTAGTGTGACCTTGGCAAGGCTCTGTTCCTCTGGGCTCCATTTCCTTTGCCATGGGATGAGGCCTCGGGTGCTGTGACCCCAGGCTCCCTGCTCAGCATCCTGACTCAGCACTCCTTGGTTGCCCGCGACAGATGCCCGCCGGAAAGTGGCTTCAGCAGCCAGGTGCTTTGCGTGGCTGGAGACGCGTGGGAATGGCTCTCTGGGGCCACTCATCTTGCCTTTTCTCCTCTTGCTCCCAGGCTGGCTGCCTCTGCTCTGCAGGCCATATGGGAGACCATGCTGCCAGCCTTCCATTTGTACGACTGCAGTGTAGGCCTCTAAGGGACCCAGCCTTTTCTACCACTGCTCTGGAAAGGATCCGGGTGGCTGGGGCCAAGACCCTCCTACCTTTGACTCGACTGACATCCTGTCCCAGAAGCCAGTTTGCCTCCAAGGAGGGGTCTCCATGTGTGGCTTCCAACTGTCCCCTGGAGTGTCAGGAAACCCAGAGCCAAGGATTCAAGCGCAAGGGGTGTGTTTGGGAGATGATCTCACAAAACCCATAAGGGGCAGCATGGCATTGAGGCGGGAAGGCGAAGGAAGCCAGTAACAGGTACATTGTCAGCCTGCTGTTCCTGGGGGCAGCTGAGCTCCAGGAGCTGGCGGAAGCGGGGCATGAGAGCCCCTCCAGGGCACCCCGTGGGAGCCGGGGCATGCACCCATCTGTGCCTGTCCACAGAGGGCCTCTCCTGCACCCTGGTCCCTCTGTGCCATCCGCCGCCTTGCCAGTGGGCCAAGTGGGAAAACAGCCTTCGAGGCCGGCCCCTGCGGTCTGGCTGCATCCACGGGACTGGCCTATAGAGAACCTCAGGCCTGGGCCCAGGTCATGGTGAGCTGACGGCCACCCCGGACAGTCACCCGTGCGTCCACCCCGCCAGTGAATGAAGCACTTGTCACATGCCAGACGTTCCTGCCCTAGGGACGCAGCTGGGACCGAGCCAGGCTGGAGGCCAGCCTTGCCGTGAGCTTGTGGCCAGTCCACTTGAAGACCACACAGGAAGAGCCCCACACAGGCCTTGCTGCGCTGCCTTAGGCGGTGCCCCTGTCTTCTGCCCGGGAGCTGGTGGCTGGAGGGACTTTTATTTCCTGAGACCCAAGTCTTCGGGAGCCCATTTCCCCACCTGTGTTTGGGTCCAGATGGGGACTGGTCATAAAGGACGGACTCAGCCAACCCCTGCCTTGGGTGATGCTTCTGGAGGTGACCACCCTCAAAGGTTCTGAGTGGTGGCAGCAGCTGGAATAAGGAGGAGCCTGGCGGGGCCGGGGGCGGGACACGGAGGGGCAGTACCTGCGGATAGCTGGACCCCCGGGCCTGGCTGACATCTGTCTCCACTTCATCGTCAGCAATTGAGAGCCAGCGTGGCCCTCGGGCTCCCAGAACTGCCTTGAGTCGTCAGTGGGGCTGAGAGACCTGGGCTGTGGGAGCGAGAACAGAGCAGGCCAGGAGGCCTTGTCCTGGGCTGAGGGAGGGAGGCGGCCTCCCTGGCATGGTTTGGGCAAAGGCCAGGAGGTGGGGCCTCTCTGTCTGAGGTACCCTTATGCGGTGTTTCATGGGAACCATCCACCCAGATTCTGCCAAGGAGAGGCCCAGAGCGGTGGGGAGAGTCTGGCCCTGACACCCTCCACTCCCTTTGGCGGAGGGCATGGGCAGCCCTGCACGCGGGAGGCAGCCTCCACAGCCGTCCTCTCCCTGCAGCAGACAGATGAGGCGGCACAGACGGACAGCCAGCCGCTCCAGCCCTCCGACCCTGCAGAGAAGCGGCAGCCCAAGCGGCTACACGTCTCCAACATCCCCTTCCGGTTCAGGGACCCCGACTTGCGGCAAATGTTCGGGGTGAGTGTGTGCGGCCCCACCCGTGCTGCCCTCCACACGTGCCCCAGCTCCAGGGTGGTGCCCACAGGCCCTGCCTTACTGTCCACACTTGCTCCCTGGGCTTCCTGCCTCCCACGGTGCAGGGAGCCTCCCAGGCCCTGGGGTTCCTTCCTCCCGAGCCCAGCCCCGCCCTGACCTGAACCTGCCTGGAAGGTGGCGGTGCAGGGGAAGGTGGCGGTGCAGGGGAAGGCCTCAAGCTGAGGGACTGGGGGATCTGTTGTTGCTGCCCCTCAAACCCCACCCTTCCTGTGCCCGGCTGGAAATCCACCCATGGCCCCCACACCACCTGACCTCAGGAGTTCATAGAGTCCCTTGGTTATGACTATCCTGTTCCCACATTCCGGCTCCTCATCAGAGGGTACCTGGAGGGGCAGCTCAGCCTCCCACAGAGCAGCTGCCCCAGCCCTGGCCTGTCCCGTGTGCCCGGAGACCAGGCATCAACCTCTCCGGGCCTGCGTCCCCCGGGCCCCCAGGTGGGAGCTTGGGAACGACGCGCAGTGCGTGGGAAGGGAGGCCTGTCCTGGGCTCCAGGTTTTCCACTGCAGGCCTCAGCCCAGGCGGGGTCAGTGTGAGAATGTGCAGGGCCGCCCTTGGGTCCTGGGTCACTTTGTTACTGGACTTGAATGCGCCCGGCAGGTGCTGAGGCCTGTGGTGCTGGGGCTACTGAGGGGCAGGTGAGGAGCAGCCACCAGGCAGCTCAGCCCAGCGCCCAGGCTGCCCCAGCCACAGAGGACCACGTGGCCTGGCCGTGTCTCCCCCCTCCCTCCAAACTCCTCCCTCCCCTGCCTGCCGCTGCGCCCACCCACCTCTGCTGCACAGGTAGGCAGCCTCTGGCTCCTGAATCCCAGCCTCTTTCCTCATGCCACCCTGACCCAACTGGGGTTTGCCAAGCAGACTGGAGGCGCCTCAGGCTGCCCCAGGGTGGGGAAGTCCCCCTCCGCCTGCCCCCTGATGTGACCCTCAGAAATCCACTTCCCATCTCAGGAGCCAGGCCTGGTTGGATTTGAGGCTTAGACTCATTGGGGGGCTGGCATGACCTAGAATCATCAGATGGCAAGGACTCTGTCCCTTCTCGACCCTGGGTCCTGGGCAGGCAGCCACATTTCTCTGGGCCTGGGGCTGCCCCTTAAGAGCAGCTGACATTTTGGGGCTCTGGCTGGATGCCCTCAGTGGGTGGCATTTTGGGCCCTGGCTGGATGCCCCCTGCATGGGGCCTGTTTACATACACTCACTCAGTCCCTGCAGGACAGGGCACCATCCCCCGTCAGCTCCCTGGGTCCCTGCAGGACGGGGCACCATCCCCCGTCAGCTCCCTGGGTCCCTGCAGGACGGGGCACCATCCCCCATCAGCTCCCTGGGTCCCTGCAGGACGGGGGTTGCTACCCCCTCTCTTCAGCACCTGGCAGAGTTGGGATTTCATCACTGTCTGGCCTCACTGGGCCTTGCTGCCCCCCGCGTCCCATGCCTCCAGGGCTGTGTGGAGGTGGCTGGGAAACCCCCATCAGTTGCCTGCACTGCAGGCTTCAGGACAGGCCCTGGGGGCCTCAGAGCTATTGTTCCGGCCAGCCGTTCACAGGCTCGTGGTCTCAGTACCCGTGAGAGAGACAGGGCTGTCCTGTGGGGACTGTGGCCAACAACGCACGGGAAGAAGGCAGCAGAGCATCACGACCCCGCTGGCCCTCACGTCCTGCACAGGAGGGCCTGGGGCCAGGTCACTGCTGCTCAGCACCCTACGCCAGCACAGGCCCACGACAGGCTGTGCAGGGTCCCAGGGGCCTGAGCAGGCTCTCCCTCCACCCGCCTCTTCTTCTCATGCCCTCCACCCCATTGTGCCCCTGCCCAACCTCCTCCCCATCTCAGGGAGGCCTGAGGGTCCCATTTCCCAACCAGGGGTCCTACTCCCCAGTGGCCTCAACCTCCCGTTCCTGACCCCGGCACTTCCCTTTCTCTGTGGCACTTTGTCCCTTCCGCAGACTCATGTCCCTCCCTCTCCTCCTGTTTCCTTTGGAGAAGGGTCTCTCAGCAGACCTTTAGTGTGAGTTGGGGTGGGGGGGGTGATAATGCCTTGGGTACCCTATCCCCACTGTAGCCCTCTCCAAGTGGCCAAGTCCCGGGAGGGCGAGGAGGGGGTCACTGGTGATAGGCCCACCCCCGTCCCCAGCTGGCAGCTGGAGGCAGTGCCCCAGCAGGAAAAGCTCCCTAAGATGGAAGGGAGACATGGGCCTCCAGGAGAGGCTGGGAGAGCCATCCCTGCCCACACGCCACACCAAGGACCCTCTCGGTGACGCCTTGGGCCCCCATCCCCACCATCACCCTGTCCAAGTGGCCAAGTCCCAGCCACTCCAAGGCCAGAGGTGGAAGGGGGTTCCAGGGCTCCTCTCCCAAGCTGGGAGCCCAGGGCCGAGCACAGGCCAGGCCCGGTCTTAACCTTCCTTTCCTGTCTGCCCCGTTCCCTCCCTCTCTGTCTCTGCAGCAATTCGGAAGAATCTTAGACGTGGAGATCATCTTTAATGAGCGGGGCTCCAAGGTGGGTGCCGCACGGAGCTGCCGCCTTACCGCGCCGGCTGTAGGTCCCGCCAGGCTAACGTGTGAAATGTGCGTTTCCTTCCTGGAGAGCTTCACGCCCGAGGACCCCTGAGCGACACGGGTGCTTGTACTCCCCGCTCTTCCACCCCCCCACCCCTCACCCCAGCTGTCTGTGTTGTTGCTGCCGCTGCCGCTTTTTCTTTCTGAGCCACCAGGACCTCTTGCCTGCACCCCAGAGCCCTGGGCCCCTGCGCCCAGGTCCCACCCCCCCTAACTGCTCACCCCAGGGGACCACTGGCCTTGAGGCTTGAGGGAGGGGCTACAGAGAGGGCCCGCTGGGGAGGGTGGCCAGCGGAGACAAGCCCTACTCCCCTTCCGGGAAGGCACGACCCTCCACCCTAGGCTCTGAGGGTGGAGGCGGGTGGGCTGCCCCTGCAGGTCCTGAAGCCCAGCCTGGGCCCCCCACCCCAAGGTGGGGTTCAGGGGGCAGGCCTGGCCCGTGGTCAGGTAGTATCTCTTACGTGGCTTTGGCCTGACCCTTTGGAGATGCCAGGCGGTCCGCTCAGGCTGGGCTCAGGCCAGGCCAGCAGCTGCCCTCCCAGGGCCCGTACCCCTCCTGGCATCCTGCTGGTGGCCCCACGACAGACCTCTGGGCTGCCTGCGTCTCTGCCTCAACTCACCTGACTCAACCCCCTCTCTCTCTCTCCCCCTTCCCCTGGTCCCCACCCACTCCTTCCTCCTCTTCCTCGCCCTATGTCCTTCTCTCCGTGCCTGTCCTTCCCTCTCCTCTGCTCACAGGGTTTTGGGTTTGTAACTTTTGAAACTAGCTCAGATGCTGACCGAGCCCGGGAGAAGCTGAATGGGACGATCGTAGAGGGACGGAAAATTGAGGTGCTCAGATAAGTGTGCTGCAGCAGGGATGCCCCGAGATCGCCCACCTCCCCCCACTCCCCTAGCCGACCACCCCGCCACTGCCGCACCCTTCAGAGAGCCTGGCCAGGGTCCCCTGGGGCGGGAGGAAGGGCGCACTGAGGCCAGGGTCACTGGCTGCCTGCTGAGCCCTGTCACTTGTCACCCCTTCAGGCTCACCGAGGTCCCCTTTTCCCTGCCTCTTCCCTCCTTTTCCTGGGAGATGCCCTATCCCCAACCAGACACTGCAGGAGCCCCAGAAATCCTGTATTTGGGGCTCGGCAGCTTCAAGGACCATGGCCAGCCCACCCTGCCATGAGCCATTAATCCCCAGACCCTGCCCACCATGGAGCAGCGGCTCTCCCCAGCCCATCCCCACATGGCCCGGCCCGGGCCCTGCAGTTTGCCCCAGCTGGGGCCCACTCCACCCCTTGTTTGGGTAGAAGCAGAGTCAGCATCAGCAATGGCCAGGGCAGAGGAAGGGACCCAGCCCCGAGGAGGAGCAGGGAGAGGGGCACTGGGTCCCTCCCTGACACTCACCCCACTCTGTCGCCTCCTTCCCTGATCACCGGAGGCCCAGAGTGCCAGTGGGCTGTGTTCCCTTGCTGCGGCCTGGGTGTCCGGAGCTGGGTCCCCCAGTAGGCAGGGCAGCCAGAGGGTGGCTGGAGGAGGGCCGGGGCCAGCCACTAAGGCAGAGCCCTTGGGCAGGCGGTGAAGGCCTGAGAGGAGGTTTCTAGACTTCGGACAGCACTGGCTCAGCCAGGCTGCAGCCCCATGCCCTCGGGGCTCACACTGAGGATGTGGGGGAGGCAGAACAGGCCAGACCCCTTCCTGGGGCCCATCACCTCTGCTAGTCTCAACTCCCTTCCACACACGCCTCGTCCTCTCCATCCCAGGCTGCCCCTAGACAGCCTCACCTGGGCTTATGTGTGGAAAATGGGTGGCCTGTGTGCCCAGAGTCCCCTCCCTGGCAGCCTCATCCTCCTGGGGCACACGGGCCCCACAGCAGAGCTCTGTGTTCTGCAGCATTGAGGACTCTGGCCTCAGAGAAGGGTGCATCATCCAGGAGAGGCATGTAGCCATCTTGGTTCCCGTGCCTAGGTGGGCCTTGGCATCCTCAGGGAGCAGAGGGCATCCTGGAGGCCAGCCTCTTAGCTGGTTCTGGTCAGAGAGCACTTTGTGGAGAGTCCACCAGGGAGCTTCTCCCACCATCCCGGGGTGCCTAGGAGCCTGGGTCTGGGTTTATGGGAATAGCCATGTGAAGAACACAGGCCAGCAGGCCTGGGTCTGGGGTCCTGGGCCAGGCGGGGCTTTAGCCCATGCTGGGAGCAGTGGGGACCAAGGCTCTGGATGGCAGGCAGCAGGAGGCTAATCCTCCCTCTCCGTCTCTCTTCCCTCTCTGGGCAGGTCAATAATGCCACGGCCCGAGTTATGACCAATAAGAAGACGGGGAACCCCTACACCAATGGTAAGGGGCAGGAGGCTGCCAGGATCACTGGGCAGGACAGAGGCCCTGGGGGAGCTGAGGCTGCGGTGGGCTGACCTTCCTGGATTCTAAGCAGCCGCCGCCCCCAATGTCCAAGCTCCTGGGCTGCTACTCTGCTCCCTGCCGGAAGTGGGTGGGGCAGAGGAGGCAGGAGGGAGAGCTGGGAGCCACCCACCCCGATCCTGGCCCCATACAATCAGCCACACCTGGAGTCTTGCTTTCCCAGGCATGTGCGGCCCCTGGAGGCCTCACATGCAGGCATCTGATACAGTGGGACAGCAGTGCCTTCCTGGATTAGGACTTCCTTCCTCCCAGGACCTTGAGTTTGAAGGCTCCTATGCTGAGACCTGCACCGATTCACAGTTGTAGACAGGCTCAGGGAGGGCAGCGGGGGCACGGGAGGCCTTGGATGTGCTTCTAGACCCGAGCTCCAGTTTCTTTATCTGCAAAACAGGAAGAGTGACACCACCCCCCAGAGCTGTTCAATGACAGATGACATCTCTAAGCACCATGAGCGAGGGCCCAGTGGGGAGGTGCTCAGATTGCGTGGGATGTGATTACAGGAACTGCCTTCCTGGGGCTTTGCGAGGTGGTTGGGGGCACTGAGACCCCAGGCTGAGCCCTGCCGTCCACAGCATGCATGGGTAAACTGAGGAATCCTGCATGTGCACACCACACTGCAAACGGAGGTGGCCAGTCTTCCTTGGAGACGGATCTGCCGATGCTAAATGCTGGCTCTGGAGAGGTAGAGGGACCGCTGGTGGCCACTGCAAGTCTCTCCATCAGGCGAGGGGCCTGCTTTGAGCGGAGCGGGTGTGCACTGGGGCCTCCTCTCATTCTTGACAGCGAGCAGCTTCCCACTCGGACCCCTGAAAAGCCTCAGCACTGCTCCTAGACAGGATGGATCTCGCTGCCGACATGGAACCTCAGACTGCTCTCCCCTGGCCTCTCATGGCCCCGTGTGATAGGCCACATGTGGAGTCAGGCGGGGACCAGCACAGAAGCCAGGACAGGACTGCTCGATGCACCACCTCTCTCCCCAGCTCTTCTTCTGGTGTCTGGTGCTGGCATGGGGCCGGGACTCTGGCCTGGCCCAAGTTAGACTTGATTCTCTTGGCCTCATACCCTGCTTTTCTGAGGACTTACACATCTCAAGTGCTTTTTAAAAATTTGGGAATGCAGGCCAGGCGCCGTGGCTCATGCCTGTAATCCCAGCACTTTGGGAGGCCAAGGCAAATGGGTCACCCGAGGTCAGGAATTTGAGACCAGCCTGACCAACATCGTGAAACCCCATCTCTACTAAATATACAAAAGATAGCCGGGCATGGTGGCGCATGCCCATAATTCCAGCTACTCAGGAGGCAGAGACAGGAGAATTGCTTGAATTTGGGAGGCGGAGGCTGCAATGAGCTAAGATCGTGCCATTGTACTCCAGCTTGGGCAACAGAGTGAGACTCTATCTCAAAAAAAAAAACGAGAGTGCTCCTGCTTTGCAAGCATTCTGAGTGCTTCCTGGGTGTGACTCTTCTGTGACCTGGCACTTGGCACAGGAAGTAAAAGCAGTAGATGTTTTTACTGGGTACAGGTGATCAACCGGCAGGGCTGCGTAATCTCTGGAACCAGCTGCCCACTCTGCACCCAAGAGCCACACCTACCGCTATCTGGGCAGAAATGAGAATTCAGGGAAGCACAGAATTCAGAATGGACCCATCCCTGAAAGGCCTCAGGCTGTGAGGCTTATGAGGGGCACGGAACCAACGCCAGTAGGACATCAGGGAATGGAGGGAGGTGACAACCTCCGCCTGCCTTTACAACAAGAAACGTTTCATCTCAATGTCTTCGCCATCCTGGGCACAGAAGGCTGCAGTGGGATGGCCCTGGGTTCTCTGCAGGTTGTCACCGAAGCCAGCCCATGGGCTCTGGTGGCCTGAGTGCAGCGTGACTTGGCTTCAGCACTCCGCAGCACTCTAAAGCTCATCAGTTGGGGGCAGAGGTTTCTACTGTAGAAAACAAACTCACCAGGTTTGCCCAGGTGTTAACTATGTATGTTAGAACGGAGGCCATCCAGGCAAGTCTCAGGCTGCCTCTGCCATCTGGGGTCCAGACACTGAAACGGAGCCAGCAGAGACAGGTAGAGGCCCCCAGAGAGCTAGAATTGACAGGTGAGGGCACCCAGGAAGCCAGAAGGAACAGGTCAAGGTGCCCAGGGCCATGTGAGGCAGACATACAGCCTCTAAGTGTCACTCACCCAGAGTGGACCCAGAAGAGCCACTGGTTGGAGCCTGGGGGAGGCTGGGCTTGGAGTTCAGGGTCTCCAGGACTCTGTTCCATCCTGGACCTTCTAGTAAGAAGAGTCAGCTCTGGCTCACACCTGTAATCCCAGCACTTGGGTGGTTAAGGTGGCAGGATCCCTTGAGCCCAGGACTTCAAGACCCGCCTGAGCAACACAGGGAGACCCTGTCTCTACAAATAATGTTTTAAATTAGCTGGGGGTGTGGCGGCAGCGACCTATGGCCCCAGCTACTCGGGAGGCTGAGGTAGGAGGACCGCTTGAGCCCAGGAGGTCTAGGCTGCAGGGAGCAGTGATTGTCCACTGCCCTCCAGCCTGGGCAACAAAGCAAGACCCTGTCCCCCACTCCGCTCCAGGAAAAAAAAGTTTCTTCCCTCCTGATGATTCCAGAGTCCCAGCAGTGACATCCAGACACAGGTCATGTGCTGGTGGCCGGGGATGCAGGGCGGGGTGAAGAGTTGACCTGAGGGAGGAACAGACCCTGCCGCTCTGTCCTCACTGCCCCCGGTCTGCCTGTCCTGCAGTGGGGTTGGTAGAATCTGGGTCAGGGGCTCACACGTGGCCTGGAGCCATTGCCACCCTCTCCATATATATATCTCCAGCTGACCAGTGGGCCCTGTTCCCTGCTGTTCCTCCCCACCCAGCGCAAAGGGACAAGGAGCCGGCCCACAGGGCACACTGCAAAGATAAGACCTTGGTCCACGGAGGAGGGGTGAGGGGATGGGCCTTGCCAGAAGCCCTCCTGCCTAGACTATCAGAATGCCTGAAGCCGGAACCTGCTCCAAGGCAGCTGGTTTCCCCCGCAGAGGCCGCCAGGTGGAGCAGGACTTTGCCCTGCTCCTGGGTCCCCCGTGGGAGAGGAAGACCAGCCCACCTGCAGGAAGGGAGAGGCTGGGATGTAGATTACAGCCTGGGACCCAGTGCATCGCCAGGAATGTGGGTCTAGCTGGGGGCTGCAGGCTGGGATCCCTGGCTCTGCCACTCCCCAGCGGGTGACGGGAGGTTGCTATGCCTCGCCAGGCCTCTGTTTCTTCATCTGCAAAATGGGGAGGGCGCGATGGCTCACTGGGCAGTGAGGACCCAGTGGGTTTCAGTCCATGTGGCTCACACAAAGCATTGAGGAAAAGCAGCCATCCTCTTATCCTCAGTGCAAACGCCCTTTCCTCCTCCACCTGCTCCCCACGCCACCCTCCCAGACGGCCGCTCTGGGGAAAGATGAGGGTGGGAGGAAAGTGAGAGCCTGTCCCAGCACTGGCAAGAGGGAGCGGGAGGGGACTTTGGCAGGCAGTGGGGAGAGGCTATGGGCAGAGGCCAAGGGCCTTTCCTGCAGCCTCTGGCCGCTGGAGCTCGGATGGTGGGGCGGTGCTGAGTCGGCTCCAGAAACCCTCATCCCAGCTATGGCTGCAGGCAGGTAGATTACAAGTTCCACTTCCCGTCCCCAGTTCTCTTCTGGGAGGTGGGTAACCCAGGCTTCTGGGGATGATGCCAAGGGCTGAGGGTAGCTCAGGGGCAGTCTGGGGAGGACCACAATTTGGAAAGAATCCTAACAGAGCCTCAGGCGGAAGGGTCCGGAACCAGCAGGCCCTGGCGTTTTGAACCCAGCACTTGGGTTGGGGTGGGAAGAGGGCCTGGTGCAGGGAGCGTTCCCAAGGGCTCCACTGGTGTCGCTGGGGTGCCCAGGCATAAATTTTGGTGGGAAAAGTGTCGGAAGGCAGTGACTAGTCTCTGTGCTTCTGTTTTAGGCTGGAAGCTAAATCCAGTGGTCGGCGCCGTCTATGGGCCTGAATTCTATGCAGGTAAAGGCTGGGGCGGGGCAGGAACGGGACAAGACCAGCCAGTTGGCCCCGTGGGGCCCCGGGGGCCCGAGGGGTGGGGTCAGGTGGGACCCCACCGTGCCTCTCACACATGTTTCGGGCCCCCTTCCCTGCAGTGACGGGGTTCCCCTACCCCACCACCGGCACAGCCGTTGCCTACCGGGGCGCACATCTTCGGGGCCGGGGCCGGGCCGTGTATAACACATTTCGGGCTGCGCCGCCCCCGCCCCCCATCCCGACTTACGGAGCGTGAGTACCTGGGCCAGCCGGAGAGGCGGGGAGGGTGGGGAGGAGGGAGCTGGGGAGGCCCTGCGCAGTGCGAGGGGCTAGGCAGCCTTTCCAGACCCGGGGCGGGGGGGGGTCATGGGAGCCCCCAGAACGCAACCCTGCAAGTGCCTCCATTACCGTCACCCCCATCCCCATCACGGCAGGCATTGCCAAGGTCCCCGGCATTTGCGGGGACTTTCAGGGCCCCAGAACCTTGTCGGGATGCTTTAATGGGGGCGTCGTCCACTCTTGATTTGAGCGAGGGACTTCTCTGAGCCCTCTCAGTCCCATTCCCTGGGGTCTGGTGCCCTCCACCACTGAAAGGGAGGGCACAGCTGCCTGGGGTCGGGTGGGCCATGGGCCCCGGGGTTTGTGGGAGAAAGGAGCTGATCAGCAAGGGTGTTACTCTATTGTTATACCAAAACAGGGCACTGGAGCAAACGCTTGTTAAAATGCCAGTCCCATGGGCGGGGCTGGCACCGTGCCCCCTCCCTCCTCAGCAGACACCGGAGCCGGCCTACCCCACCTCTCCAGCGTTCCCACCACTTTCTTGTCCGTTTGCTTCCAGGGTCGTGTATCAGGATGGATTTTATGGTGCTGAGATTTATGTAAGTGCAGCCCCGGGGGGAGGGGCGGGTGGGGATCAGGCCTTCTGTTTGTCTCAGTGAGAAGTCAGCGTCTCCCTGCTCCTCCCATCCCACCCCACCTTGAAGCCGCGAGGGCACGGGCGCCATGTCTGCCTAGAGCATGGCGTCCCTGGGAATCCCAGCACAGCACAGTCTGGTGGCCTGTGTCCATCAATGGAGCAGTTAATGGGTCACCCAGCAGCCCTGTAAGCTGAAGGCATCTTCCCATTGGCAAGGGTTCATATAATGGGGGTAGTGGAACTCTGCCACTTCCCTAACCATGCTGTGGTCAGGGAGTGAGCCCCCTAACGTACCCATGTCCAGGACGGGCTTCGAGAGGGGCCGGGAGGCAGGGCCCCTGCGTGCCTGTGCTGCGGTCTTACCCACCCTGATGGAAGTCTGTTAGCCTCTCTCCCCCTTCATGGGACGGCACCTGCTGCTTCTGGCTCAGACTCACCGACGGCCCCACCCCTTGTACCCAGCCACCCTTCAGTCCTGGGCAGTTGCCCACAATTCAGTTACCTGCTCATCTGAGGCCAGGACAGAGCTCACGTCCTCTTTTGCCCTTTGCCCTTGACCCTTCCTGGTGTCCAGGACCCCCTCCAGAGGCACTGTGGGTTCTCCCAGCCCCTCAGCATCCATGTCAGGCCTCACTGGCCTGGTGGCAGGTCTGTGGGCACCTCTTCTGTGCCAAGGCCTAGCACCCAGCCAGATGGGTTATTGGTCCCAGCTAGTGTGTTGGAGTGCACAGATGGGTGTGTGAATGAATGAGTGAATGAATGGAAGGCAGACCTGCCTCACCCCACACTACCACCTGGCCACCTGCATCCTCTGATCTGCGTTAGGGAGCTAGGGGCCCAGGCCAAGCACCACCTACCCATTCCCTGGCCGAGGCTGGGAGGCCTGCATCCCTCCCGGGCCCCACCCGCACAGGGTCTGTCTCTCTCCCCACTCACCCCTTCCCTGGGGAGCCCCACTAAGCCCCTCTGCTGTCTCTCCCACTTACCCTGCAGGGAGGCTATGCAGCCTACAGATACGCTCAGCCCGCTGCAGCGGCGGCAGCCTACAGCGACAGGTAAGGCCAGGTGCCAGAGTGGGGTGGGCAAAAGATGGACAAGGATCCCTTGGGGGGCTGGGCCCAGACAGGCAGGAGGCATAACCCACCTTTCCGGGTCCGGTGGGAGCAGGACTGAGTGTGGCCCTCGAGCCAGTGAGCTCCTGACTTCAGTCCCTTCCTGCTTGGGGAGGCTGTGGAAACTCCAGGTAGCAAACACCATCTCTGGTTCCCAGCCCCCCACCCCGCGCCCCCCTGCCTGTCTCGGGGGCAGATGCTTGAGTGCTTCCTCCCTGGGCAGCCTAGCCTAGGGCCTTTCCCCGTGGGTATCTGGCCCATTGGCAGCTGAGCTCCGCCGCTCTGGCCTGGGGACTGCTTGCAACCCCTCCCTCCCGGCAGTCCCTGGCTCCATCTCCCTGTAAGTCTGTGTGTGTGCAGGGCGCTGTGGCCCAGCCGTGCCCTCTAAGGAGCTGAGTTCCCTGCACAGGCGAACTGGCGAAAGGAAAGTTGTGCGGGACGCAGTGTCATGTTCTTGCGGGCGGCGTCCCTGGTCCCTCCCACTGGCCCTTCCTCTCTTGTCTTGAAACCCTCCCCAGCATTCACCCCGTTCTTTTTGGGGTGGAAGTTTGCTTTCCCTTGAGGCAAGCTCTGTGAGTACGCTTTTCCCCCCAGCGTAGCACTGAGTAGAACACACTCCCCCACCCCCGCCATCAGGGTCAGCACTCAGTGGGCATATTGAGAGTGTAGCCTATTGTGTTCCAGAAGCTTCCTTCTCAACAAGAAAGAAGGGTAGGACTTGCAGGCGGGAGGGTGCCTTGCAGATGGGACCTGGCTGGAGGGTGCCCGTGCAGTGTCTGGAAGGAGGTGGGCGGCCGTTGCCGCCCCTCACCGTGCCCACCCTCTCCATGCTCTTCCCCAGTTACGGCAGAGTCTACGCAGCTGCTGACCCGTACCATCACACCATTGGGCCCGCGGCGACCTATAGCATTGGAACCATGGTAAGGAGCCCGGGCCCACCAGCCCTGGGTGCCAGTCCGAACAGCGGGGCGCAGCGCTGCAGCTGGGGTGGGTGGCGAGGCCTTGGGGGGGAGAGGCCGAGCCTTGGTCCCGGAGATTTTGGAAGGCGCACAGCCTGGATGTGAGTCAGGAAGAGGGGAGGGCCAGCCCCTCCTGCCCACTCTCTGTTGCGGGGAAGCGGGCTGAAAGGCTGGTTGGCCCACCAGACCTGGTCCTCTGGGAAGCACCCCAGTGTGCCTGATCCATTTCCCTGACCCCATCAAGATAATAAAGTCCTGTTAAGGCCCCTCCATTCCCACCACCAGGAACACCGAAATTAAGCCAGGGCTACTCTCCTTCCCAGCAGAAGCTCCCAAGGCCCCCCCCAGGGGCTGGCTGTTTCTGCCCACGCTGCACCCCCACGGCCCGCCCGCACCACTGCAGCCCCTCACACCCAGGCAGGGAGGGCAGGCCACTGGCTGCTTCTCACCAGGCCCTGGCTCCTGGCTTCCTGCCTGCTCTTCCCCAGCCTCCTCCCTCGGGCTGTGGGGTGGAGGGCGGGGCGGGAGGTGTGCGGCGTGGCGTGTCTGTATGTGTGTGTGTGTGGCCAGCTGTCGACACGTGCAGCCCAGCTCACTCTGCACCCAGAGCTGCTTCCAGCGGACACCTGCCTCCTGTGCCCACCGGTCCCAGCCCCGGGGTGTGAGGTTTTAGCTAGCTTGGTATCCAGCATCAAAGATGAAAACATCTTGGGGAGTGAGGAGGGAGGAGCTTCAGAGGCAGGATGGATTTTCCCATCTTCCTTGGTTTCGATGACTCCCTCCAATTTTTGTTTTGTCTTTTTCCATTTTTAACGAGCCTCAGACACCCCCAGCAGCCTGTGGCGGCTGCAGTCAGTCACGGGAGCGGGTCTGACAGGGCGCGGCACAGCCCCACCCGGATGGAGGCACGACCCCCCGGCTCCCGGGCCCTCCGTGCAGCTGCACGCTAAAGGCTTTCATTAATGCACAGAGGGTTCCCTCTTGTGTCTTCGCTTTTTATTTTTAAGATTTTCTATTTTTTCCCCAATTTTTCTTCTCAACATGCTTGCCATGTTCTTCCCTTTTCTGGCAAAACCGGGTGGTTGGAGGGCGGGAGGCTCCTTCGGAGCCCTCCATGACTAGGGGCAGCCCAGGACATGGGAGGCTGGAACACCCAGCACCAGTTCTCCCCAGCAGCGCAGGGCTGGGCCGTAGGTGGGCCCAGGAGGACCCAGGGACCCCCAGAGAGCGAGGCTCTGGCACTGTGCCCAGAAAGCTTGCCTCTCCCAGCATAACCAGCTTCAGTGGCCCCAGGCTCTGGAGCCAAGGCCCAGGAACCCGCCAGGAGTTCCCTCAACCCTCTGAAGATGCCCCGCGCTGCCCTGCTGGGGTGCGAGGAGGTGGGGCTTGAGCTGGGACCCCCCTTTGCATAAGGACAGTGAGAAGCCAGACCTGGCCCAGAGACGTGAGCCAGACACAACTCAAAGCTCATGACCCCGAAGTGCTGCTGGCCATGACCCCAGAGCACCCCCACCGCTGGCCCCAAATGACCACGACAGGGGCAGGCCCGAGCCCTCTTGCTGACCTGACAACCCAGCTCCTTTCTTCCCAAGGACGTTAGGGGGAACGAACACAAGACTTAGCTATTTCTCTTTTTGGTTTTCCTTGGTTTTTTTTTCTTTTTGCTTTTTCCCCTCTTTCAAAAGGCGGTACTGATTGGCTGTTTTTCATCTTTGATGTTGCAGGCTAGCCTCTGCCGAGGAGGGTACAGCCGCTTCACCCCCTACTAGCAAGAGACCCAGCCCCTAACAGCATTCACACTGACTGCCTCTCACAAACCACACCCAACAGCCCAAAACCAGGCACAGCCACCAGGAAGACAGTGCACCCCTCCCGGCCAGCGACACGCGCGGCTGGCCCTCTGCGACTCTAAAGTCCATAGTTTTCCTCTCCAGCCAGCTGGTCTCCCCACCCCACCTGTGCTGGTGTGTGTGTCTTTGACCCTGGTTTTTCCTGTATGTCTGAAACCGTGATTTCCTATTTTGTGTTTGTTGATGTTGTACTGCCCCAGCCATGCAGGTACGGTACGCGAACCACGGGGTCCAGGCTGGGCCAGGAGACCAGGCAGCCCCCGAGCCCGGAGGGGCAGTAGCGCCCTGTGGGGGCAAGAGCCTCGTATCCTGGCCTGCCAGGCTGCACAGAGTGGCAGAAACGCCCGGCAGGGCCTCCCCCAGAGCCACCCAGCCAGCCCCACGCCACAGCCCTAGTGTGTGGCACCCTGACGCAGGGAGGGAGGGGCTCCAGGCGCCCAGTGTGGGTCCCCGGCTGAGGATGCTCCTGCCAGCCTCCACCCAGCCAACCACAGGACTAGCTGTCGCTCCTCCTTGCCCCATCGGCTGAAACTAATATTTTTAATTAAATTTTATTGACGATAATCCTTGCCGACGTAGTCACAAGCATGTCGCGTGGTGTGCGAACTGCTGTGGTCACGCCGGTCTCCGAGACTCCTTAGCACTGCTGCTGCGAGAAACGGCAATGTGGAAAGGCGTGTCCCGGCCTCTCATCAGGGCACCCCTTAGCACCACAGGGTGGAAGCCAGGCCAGACTTGCTCGGGGCGGGGGCAGGAGTGGGTTGTCCTGGAGGTACAGCCTACTCTTCCTGTCCCCAGTCCCCGAAATGTCTTTATTGGGGTACATTCCAGAAGGAAGAGGGCAGATGGGCCCTTGCTCAGGCCCTCCCTGCGTTAGGGGGACTGTAGGCAGGGAGGGCCCTGTGGCCCACGGGCCACCCCCTCCCCAACCCTAGGACTGGCCAGCCTGGCGCATGGCGCTTCTGGGGAGACACTGGCTGCGACCTCAGTCGAGCACAGCCCCGGGCAGCCGCTGGTCCGCCTGGGAAAAGCCAGCCAAGACAGGCACAGTCCTTTCCTGGGGCTGGCCTGGGGCACTCAGATCTGAACCTGCATGACAGAGAAAAGTAGCCTCAGGCTCCGAGTGTGCCACAGCCGGGCTCCTGGGACAGGAAGGCCAGCTGGAGGGGTAGGTTCCCCACCAGCCAGGGCTGAGTTCCTGCCGCCCACCAGGCCCTTGCCATGGGGAGCCCGGCTCCCCACCTCCCGTGGCCAGACCCTCACTGCCGCTGTCCCACCCGGGCTGCCTCGGGGCCTGCACTGGCCCAGCCTCTCCCCTCGCCCTGTCCTGCCCACCTCTGTCTCCTCCCATCCCGGGCTGCCTGGGCCCCATCCTGGCGTCCACCCACACTCAGCCCTGAAAGATGAGGGTCCTGGAAGCTGGGGGGCAGTTGTGGGGGCGCCAGCACTTCAGGCCAGGGGCCCCATGCCATGCGGCCCGCCGCGCCTGCCCCTGAGAAGCTGCAAGTCCTGCCTTTCTGTTTCTGTTGTAGTGAAACCTTCCAGCGTTTCCTTCTCGGACCATGAAGGGCAAAAACAAAACAAAAAAAAAAAAAAAAAAAAAAAAAAAAAAAAATCACAAAAAAAAAAAACAAAAAACAAAAAAAGATGTTAAGATCCAAGCAACAAAAAAACCAACCAAACCAAGAGGCATCCAACCAAGTCCACGTCCCGCGTCCCGGCCACACGCCCGCACCGAGGGAGCACGCCGGCAGGGGCGCTGAGGAGCCCGGGACAGGACGCCCCGCCTCGTCGCTCGTCCCCGCCCTGGCTGGCAGTGCAGTGGGGACGCCCCCCTCCATCTCAGGCAGTGGGGAAGTTGGAGGAGAAGGGGCCTCCCTTGCGGGGCCTGTGGGGGGCTCTGTTTTCGATCCGGTCTTCCTTTCCCAGCCCCCTACTCCCAAGGCAGTGTGGGGCTCAGCAGCGCGGAGCAGGCCCCGGGCCTGAGCAGGGAGGCACGCTGTGCCGGGGCGGGGCTGGCAGGGCTGGGGGTGCGGGCGGCTTTCATCCCAGGGGCTAACTGGGCCCCATCACCCTTGTGTCGCGTCCTCTGCGTCCCACCTCCCTCGTGCCCGGCAGTCCCGCCCGTGCCCCCAGCCTGGCAAGGAAGCCATCCGACAGCAGCCCAGAGCCGACTCCAACAGAAAGGGCTGACCTGGCTCCAGGACTCAGGGGCACCCCAGTGGAGAACGAAGGAACCCCGGCCAGCCAGGAGCCACTCCTCACACTGCAGAGCGTGGCCAGGCAGGCCCTGAGGCCGAGGACGTGCTGCTTCTGGCTGTCACTCGCTTTCTGGAGGAGGCCCAGGGCCTGTGCACACCAAGGCTGACCTCATGCTGCCTGCTGGGACCCGGCCCTCCCTGCCGTGCCCCTGCGAGCCCAGTCCCACCAGGGGCACCCAGGGATGGGCCAGCGCCCGGCCACACCACAAGGTTAGGAGTCACAGTGGCTGTGGGCCTGGACGGACACAGAGCAGAGGCCCACGGGAAGGGCGGGGCGTGGGGGAGCCTGAGCCCACCCCTCAGGTGTCCAGGTGGCAGGAGCAGCACCAAGGACAGCCAAGCTCTTGGGCAGGCAGAGCAGGAGTAGAGCAGGTGGCAGGGAGGAGCCCCTCTCGAGGTAGGGAGCACTGAGGCAAGCAGCAGAAACTCCAGGCTCCCGACGCAGCTCCGCTGTCTCATGAAACGTCAAAAATTTAAAAATACACCTCACTTTCTATTCAGCATCAGCTACTGAAGCTCTCGAAATGGAATTCTCCTTTTCTATTCCCGTTGTACATAGCCCCCCGCCCTGCCTCTGGCTTTGTCCTCTGTACAGAGCCCCGGTCCCTCTGCTGTTCCGGACCCCTCTCCTGCAGCAGCTCACCCCCCGGCCCAGATCCCCAGGACTGCAGCCGAGCCCCGGGCTTCCTTTCTTACCATTCTGTATGCTTCCAAGGTGTGACCATTCAAATTAACAGTATTATTATTAAGATTATTAATAAAGATTTCTTTCTTCAAACAAGGATAACTCTGTATGCTCTGGCAGCTCCCGGGCCCGGTGGGTGGAGGGCATAGCGGCCCAGGGTGCAGGATTGGGGCCAGGATGGGACGCAGCCCTGCCTTGGTCTGTAGCCAGGTGGCAGTGGCATCAGAAGGCCCTTCTAGGCAAGAGACTTTCCAGTCCCAGTCCTCGAGTCCATGTGGGTCCTCTGCATCCCACCCCAGGATGGGCTGAGTGGTGGCAGCTCATGGTGGCTTTGTGTTACCTGGCCTGCCTCAGTCCCTTCTTTCCTGGGCACAGCACACGCTGGGCACAGCATGACCTCACAGAGCAGAATGCACCTCAGGAGGCTGGGTGTGGTGGCTCACGCCTGTAATCCCAGCACTTCGGGAGGCCGAGGCAGGCGGATCACCTAAGGCCAGTTCAGGAATAGCCTGGCCAACATGGTGAAACCCTGTCTCTACTAAAAATAAAATATTAGCCACCTGTGGTGGTGCATGCCTGTAGTCCCAGCTACTTGGGAGGCTGAAGCAGGAGAATCACTTGAACCTGGGAGGCAGAGACTACAGTGAGGTAAGCATGCCACTGCACTCCTGCCTGGGCAACAGAGCAAGACTCTGTCCCTCCCCCTCGCAAAAAAAAAAAAAAAAACCCAGGAGGCAGAAGGGTTAGACCTGGGGGCCACAAAGCTGTGCTTGGTCGATCCAATGCCAGAGCAAGCACGGACCTGGAGGGTGGGGGGACATGGTACAGAGGCACATGTGGCTGGTGCCCCAGCTCGTTCTGCACCCCGGTCTAGCCCGAGCTGGGGCCCATGAGGAGCCGTGTTGCTTCAAGGTGAACCCACAAGAGCTAGAGCACAGCTGCAAAGGGTCGGCTGAAGACGGGACGGGAAGTTGAGTGGCAGAACCTGAACCCGGAGCTCAGACGCCTAGGGCTGGCAGGGGCTGGAGCTGGACAGGGAGCCAGCGTCTGAGGCTGCGCTGGCGCTGCCCTCGCCCATCACACCAGGACTCCAGCGTTTTTCACAGTGTCGGATCGTTTATTTCAGAGCAGTTACAGCTGGCAGAGGGACACAGGCTTACACGCCAGCATGTTAATTCTCCCGCACGCGAGCCCTGCGCGGCGGTGGGGCTGGGGAGCCAGGGCGGTGTGTTTCTGCCACACGCCACGCTCTGCTAAGCCCCCTTACTCCTAATTGCTTGCTCACCAGACTGTGAGAAAATAATTGCCATTATAAATTTTCCCTCCTCTGCATAAAATATTCAGAGAAACCAGCACTTAAAAGACTTCATGAAGGAAGGGCAGCATGCATGCTGCACACCCCCACCGCCGCAGAGGACACGGAGAGGCCAGGAGCCCCTCCCCAGATTCCCCTGGTTCCAAAAGGGAAAGAGAGGCTCAAAGGGTTCCCAGGAACCGTCACAGCCGAAAAAAGTCAAGTCAGCTCGTGTTCACCTGCCCTCCACCCAGGACAGCGCCCGGCGGTTTCAGGCCACAGGGGGTCAGCAGAGGGACCCTCCTGCCCCACATCCTTGGCAAACGCTTCTCCTGGGACCACGCGTGAGACATGGAAGAATGTTCCAAATTAGACAAAAGCCCAGACCTTTAATCCCAGGGCCTTGTGCTTGGCACGAGTACCCAGGCAGGCAGGGAGGATGGAGAAAGAGGTGGATTTCAGCCCCTGGAAGGAGCCCCGGCTCAGAGCGGCTGCTGGGCACCAGCCTTGCCCTCCTCCTCCGCATGCGGGAGCAGGTGTGACTGGGCTGCCACCTGGTGGCCTCTGTCCTCACTGCAGGGCGAAATGATGGGGATGCCAGCCCTTAGGTGTGGGCTCTGGCTGGGGTCACAGGGCATCCCAGCCCTCAGCACTGCCCAACATCAAGGGGACCCCCACCGCCAGCCCTATGTGGCCTGGGGGTGAGACCTCCCCCAAAAGCGAGGGACTTCAGGCCACTGACTCCATGGAAGAACCACAACAGACGCCACCCAGACCAGCCACAGGATGACCCAAGGCCGTGGGGCCTAGAGACCATACCAGGAAGCTTCCTGGGCAGCCTAGCAGAGGCCTGGGCAGAGGGGAGGCAGCTAGAGAAGAGCCAGAAGGACAGAAGGCAGCCTGCGGTGAGGACCCCGCCCACGGCGAGGACCTGGCCTCCCTCACTCCCCACGCACCCGTGCTGCCTCCTGCTCAAGGGTAAGCCCGGAGGTCTCCGTGGTGCTTGGGTGAGGCTAAGGGAGGAGGTGACGGAACAGAATAGGTGGAAAAGATCCCACGTCTCCTGCAGCTCCTTCGTGCAGGAGGAGGCTGGGCTGGCGTGGGGAGCAGATGCTACTGCCGGCCTGGCCTGACCTGCGACCTGAGCCTAAGGGCAGCTTGTCCAGAGCCCACGGTGTCTCGCTGGGCAGAGGCAGGGCTGCAGTGCAGACTGCCTGAGGGCCACTTCCCAGCACCCCCACAGCCCAGAAGGGACACAGCAGGGCCAGGGGCTGGTGAGAACGCTGCAGAGATGACCTCACGCTCAGCAGCACAGTAAATTGCCAACACCAGGGAACACGCAGCAGCGGGGCTGGCCCGCAGTGCCCACTCCTCAGGGGAAACGGGCCTTTCCCACCAGGAGGCGGGGTCTCCAGCACATCCTCTCCCAACACCTGCAGGCAGCCCCACCCCGGGACCCCCTGTAGCTCGTCCTCATCCTCAGGAACGTCTTGGGGCCCACCCCAAAGCCTGCCTGCACAATCTAAGCACAAACCTTTCTCATAGTTTCATCTGCAGGAAAAAAAAATCATTCTCAGCCTCAGCATCTTGTAGCCTATTAGGAAATACCCTTTATGGAATTTTCTGTCCTAAACATCCTCTCCTCTTTCATGTTCACATGGGAACCATGTACCGTGGGGAGGGGGCTAGGCAGAAACAGAGGGCCCGCCACTCACCTCGCAATGACCAACGCTGCAATCCCACCGCTTGGTGTCCTGTCAACGCCCCCCCCGCCCCCGCCAAAAAGCCACAGCACTCAGCCCGGGGTCTTCCGCCCCAGCCCCGGGACCTGGGTCTCACCGCCACTGCCGGCACTTAGCAGTCCCAGCGCAGGCAAGGGCCAGATGGCCGGGAAGAGGCCTCAGCCCGAGGCCAGACCACCAGGCCTTAGCATCCACTCACTCGGGGGCCGAGTAGAGCAGAGCCGCCCGGCCCCACTCGGCCTGAGGCACCCGGAACCCTTCCTTGGGGACAGGCTCCACCAGAAACCCAATGCGACGATCCTGGCCGGGCCCAGCGGCATCCACCAGCAGGTCCACTACCCGGTACTGGGTGGCAAAAGCCAACCCCAGGAACGTGGGCCTCTCTGGCCTCGGCGGCGGAGAGCCATCGCCTGTCCCTCTGTAGCAGTGGATCCGGAAGCAGCGGACTTGTGGCAGGAGGAAGGACCAGTGCAGGGTGCAGCTGAGCTGGAGCAGAGCCGGGGGTCCCTCCCACTCCGAGGCGGCCAGCTGCCAGCGGACGTGAGAGACAGTGACGGCCTGCACCTGAGGCAGTGGGGCCAGCAGGCTGGCAGCATCCACCACCTGGCAGGAGAAAAGGCTCGGCATGGCTGGAAGCCAGGGGGCTGGGAGAGGGCGCCCCCACCCACACACTTCCCCTCTCTGACTCCCCCACCCCAGTTCCCCACTGAACCCAAGAAGGGAGCAGCCTGGGGCAGCCTCCACCCCCACTCAGCTGGACAAACGGCCAGTCCAGCCCGAGCCCCTCTGGGAAGTGTCACCTGGATCTCTCCAAGGCGACAGGTGAAGCTCTCCTCCTCCCGGCTACCCGGTGGCCGTGTGAAGCAAACGAAGAGGTCCCGCAAGAGGCACCCACGGAGGCTCACCTCGTAGCAGCTGCAGGGGCCAAAGGGCTGATCACAGGCCAGGCTCAGCCCAGGGTGAGCCGGCCCAGAGACCCCAAGCCACAGAAGGGGGATCCGTCCCAGGGGCAGCGGGGACCCCGGGCCGACAGCAGGGCTCCCAGCAGCTGTCCTGGGCTTATGTCTCAGAGCTGCCCAAAACCGGGGGCCAGCCCAGGGCCCCTCCATCCCCCCAGCTCTGGGGTTTCCAACAGAGACTTGAGTGAAGGAGGTGGACTTACTGCTGGACCCAGCCCCCGCTCAGCTGCCGGCCGCAGCGGCTCACCCATCTGGCCAGCTTGGTGGGAGGTACCCGGAGGGGTCGGAGGCTGTGCCTTGAGCTTGTTTCTGCTGGAGGAGGAGACATGGGACTTGAAAAAGAAGAATCTCAAAGGAAAAGGCGCTGGGAGGGACCACCGAGGGAGCCCCTGGAGTCCAGAGAAGAACCCCCGTGACGCCAGATGCTCACAGGTACTGAGAAGCGACCAGGCAGAGCTGCAGAGGAGCTCAGCAAACGAAATGCGTGTCTGGATCAGCCACGCTCTCACCCGTCCTGGCTTCCTCCAGCCTGCTGTCTCCCCACCCCGTCTCCTCGCCCCTCTCCACATCTCGGCCAGCAGCAAGGCTGTGTGCAGCTCAGGTCTCTAGGAGGGGCCACTGTCTACCCTGCACACATGCCTCAGCGGCCCAGCGAGGCCACAGGGCAGAGGCTGCGGCTGAGAAGTGAATCTTCCCTGTCCAGGCCTTGACCACAGCTGCCCTGACTCTAGCAAAGGCAGGGTGTACCCTCCACTGTCCACACCAGCTCCTCCCCACTCTCCATGAGCCTTTCCACACCTCTGTCCCCTGAGCTCTCCCCGCGCAGAGGCAGGCCTGGGCCCCCATGGCCTCACCATTCAACACTGAGATGCCACTGATGTGACAGCTGCCAGCATCCCCCGTGGTCAGCTCCAAAGCAACCGTGACATCCGTAGGCCCTTCAAGCTTGTATACCATGGACAGGAAAATTTTGGGGGGCACGGGGACCTGCAGGGAAAATAACCTGGGGGAGAAAGGTCCTGTGCTAAGTGCCACAGAGAAATCATTGAGAAATAGAAGCCAGCTCCAAATCACGTCCGACAGCCCCTCCCTTGGGGAACGGGGTGCCTGAGCAGCAAACACTCCCACAGAGTGGTCCTATCCATGGCCAGGGACAAGCCCTCCCCAAGGCCAGATTCTTTTCGTGGGTTGAAACATCTCAATTCTGAAATACTATAGGATTCCCTCATATGGGGCATCTAAAGTATCCAAACTCACAGATGCAGAGTGGAGGGTGGCTTTGAGGGGCTGGGGGAGGATGGGGGGCTAATGAGCAACGGGGAGAGTCCAGTCCTACAAGATGACACAGCTCTAGGGATCTGTCCCCCAGCCATTCATTTCAACATGGTGAACATGGTACATTTCATGTGAATGCACTTCTGACCACAATTTTAAAAAACCAATCTGGGTCTGTCCTCTGTCCTTGTTCTGACCTCCACTGCCCCATCCGCCCAGTTCCGCAGCCACCACGTGTGACAGGAGAAGCTGGTGGGCCCGCACGTCCCCCGTCACTCACCCACCTCACAGCCACATTTCCAGCCTCCGACGGGATCACACCCCGGATGAGCAGGGAGCTGCCCCCGTGCCAGGCGTCCTCCAGGCAGCAGTGCGTCCTCACCCAGCCCCGGCCATCCCCTCCCAGCCTGTGTTCTCCAAACAAAGGCTGCATCTCCTGAGCGCTCAGGTGGTACCAGGGCCCCACCGTCTCCTCCTGAAGAAAAGGGCAGAACGGGGGCACTCAGCAGAGGCCAGCAGCGCAGATGTGCCTGGAGCAGCAGGGAGGGGCAGACCACCACCGTGCCTTCGAGCAAGCCCCAGGCTCCTCCCACCTGTACCAGCTGAGGCCGGAAGACAGACACAATGGAAAGCGTACACCCACCTGGCCGTAGCAGACCCTCCGTGCACCCATGCCCAGGCAGAAGGATGTGACGAAAGGCAAAGAGCAGATGCTATGTGTGGGCAGATAACGCTCCAGCCGGCCCCAGAACCTGCCAGAGACATGGGGGCAACAGCCCGGTCCTGAGGAACGGAGGGAGCCTCCCAGTGTCCCTCGAACTTGCTGGTGGAAACTCGAGGCTCTCCTGCACCCTCCGAGACAGGACTTCCGGGAGGACTGCAGCCTCCCCGGCTACGGAGATGTTGGACACACATCTGCAGGAAGCGGTCGCTGGGTTTGGTCTCTACCCAGAAGCAGCCAGCGTGGTAGGTTTCTTCTCCCTTCATCCTCCTTTAACCGCCCCCCCCCCAGGGAGGGTCACTAAAGAGCACAAACATGTCTTATCAGAGAAACCAGGGACCCTTCCCACCCATCAGCCTGTACTAAGCACCCAGGATGGCAGGACTCACTTGTCCTGGTTCTGGAAGAAATGCTCCTTCTCCAGACACTCGTACACCCAGCCAGGAGCAAACAGAGCCACAGAGAAGCCATGCTTCCGGATCAGCTCCAACGACTGAGGAGACAGACATCAGGGAGACACTGGGCACGTCAGAACCACAGAGCCCAGACAGGCTCCTGGACGCCGGTGACAGGGGTAGGGGCTTTCAGGCAGCTGGGAAACAGGAGAGGGAAGCTGTCCGACCCCTCCCTCCTAACTGCACGTGGGGGCTGCAGGGCGTCACCCCCGTCATTCCACAAGCCAGCCAGAAGAGGGGGTGGGAGAGGCGGCCAGGCGGTCAGCGCAGCTGCATGGGCAGGAGGAGCTAACGGGCTGTGACTATGGTCCTCTCGCCCTCTGGTACACCTCTCATTCCATTATCAGAATCCCGGGCAGCAAAGAGGCTCTCCTGTTACTGGATTAATTTACTCATCCGAAGCTAAATTAATGGCTGACAACATCCCTGGGGCTCTGGGAAGGGGCAGGACTGACAGGCCAGAGGCAGGCAGAGCCCTGCGCATCCCACGCCAGGGGCACCAGCCCGGCCCCGCTCCTTCCTCCATGCTAGCGTGACCTGCCTTGCCAGAAAATGCTCCCTCGTCATGACACCTGCTGCTCCCCAAACCCTGGGCGCTTCCCCTGTCCTCACCCCTGAGCCTCTTGAGAGGTGCAGCAGGCCCCTCCAACACCGCCCGGGCTTCCCTGGAGGGGAGGTCAAGGAATGCAGCAGGGACAGGAGTCTTAGGCCCATGAAGACCAGACAGCAGGGCACAGGGTGCCTCTGTCAAGTAACACCCACGCAAATACACACCAGCCAACTGTAGAAATGGCCGGGAAGGGGTTTCAGTGGGGACACAGCTTGGCCAGACAGGACACCCTGTTTCTCAATGCCACAGGGTCCCTGCTCCGGAAAGAACAGCTGCTGTAGTCCCTTTGAGATGAAGATGGGAACGGAAGGTCCGTGAGGAAATGAGGTCCCAGGGGAGGCACTGGGCCATGGCCCTGGGCAAAGGGGACCACCCACCTTGTCTGTATCAAATCGGCCTCCGACCACGTTCCCCCGAGCAAACACGTCCACGCCCACATACACGTGGGCCCGGCGCTCCCCTGCCTGCCCCAGCATCCGCTCCAGGTGCTCCTCCTGCCAGTTATAGTTGGTGAAGAAGCCGTCACAGGAATCAAAGAAGACCCTGAGGGACAAGGACCTGCTGTGAGGCCCAGAGGGACAGGGCCACCACCCCACCCCACACAGTCTCAGCCTTCCCCCTCCTAGAGCCCAGAGGCACCTGCAGTTCACAGGCTGGGAGCTGCCTCCAGGACCTAAGACACAGCCTGGTCCCCAAGGGCAGGGAGCAGCCCCAGATGGTGACCTGAAACCCTCGCCCAGCATCCATGATGTCTGCTGAGGCTCAGAATGTTAAGAGAACTCTTTGCCTTCTCTGCGTTTTTCCCCAATGCAGTCATATATGCGCTGCCTCCGTGAGAGAGACTGTGCCCGCCCCTCATGGCACGTGGCACCCGCCCCTGGAGGCACCGCCCCTCACAGCCCCGTCTGCAGGCTTGCCTGTTGTGCTGGTTGAGTTCATTCTGCCATTTGAGCTGCCCGCTCTGCACCACACTGTCATACCACAGCACCAGGCCCCCCGGGACCTGCCGGTGCAGCTGCGTGGTCAGGTACCGCAGGAAAGGAGGCATGTTCCCCACGGCGGCCAGCTGAAAGAGACAAAGGAGGTGAGAGCATCGGTGAGCCCCAGATCCGTCTAACTGGAGAAGTATCTGGCACCGGACAGACGAGGACGCAGAGCAGACGCATCCACAGGAGAAGCCGCAGTCCAGAAAGGCCTTCCCCGCCACGGCCTCGAACGTGGAGTCCAGCCAAACAGACGACTGTCCTTTCTTATTGCGGCAGGAGGGACACCAACGCAGAAGTCAGGAAAAGAAAGAGCACGGAAAGGGAGGAAGCCCAGAGAAGGAAGCCACACACCCAGCCCCAGCTGCCAGAGGAGGAGCGGGAAAGGTGAGCCAGCCCAGGAGGTCGGAGGAGAGTCCGTCTCACTACGAGTAACTAAGATTTCAGAGTCGGCGCTGCCGCCACCTGTAGCCCAGGTGTGGGGTGAGGTAAGGCCAAGGAAGGAAAGAGGTGGAGGTGGGCAGCGAAACAGCAGGGGGCAGGGGGTGGGCGCGGGCCGGGCGCTCACACTCAGTGGGTTCTCGATGTTGATCAGCCAGCCATCGAAACGAAAAAACTGAGCGATCTGGACCAGCTGGTTGGCCACTGCCTGGTATGAGCGCTCGTTCCCGGCCAGAAAGGCTTCACAGAGCTTCGCACCTTCATTCCACTCCGTGATGAACGTCCCTGTGAGGACAGCAGAGAAACAAGGTCGGCCGCGGGAATCGCTTTCCCTCCACCCGTTTTCAAAGTGAGGTTCCCGAACCGGCAGCCTCAGTATCACCTGACCACTTGGTAGACATTCAAATCCCCATATAGCTAGTGAATCAGACGCTGCCAACGGGGACCAGCAGTCGTGGTGACGGAGGGCCATACACAATGAGGACCGAGGCCACAGCCTCCGCAGCACTGTTCTAAACCCAGGAGTCGGCAGACCGTGGCCCTGGGGCCCATGCCTGCTACCACCCGTGTGTGTACATACAATTTTCTTGGACACAGCCCCGCCTGTTTGTTTAGCTGCTGTCACTCTAATAATCACCACAGTGACCCAATGGCCTGAAATGCTGAAAATACTGTCTGATCCTTTCCAGAAAAAACCTGCAGGTGCATGTCCTGACCGACCGAGGCGGCCCTCAGCGAGGGGCTCCGTGCACTGAGAAGCAGGCAAAGCCCGAGCCTCCTAATCACCGGGTCCCCCGGCGGGTGAGCTGAGTCTGCCTGAGACGGAGGTGAGTGCCTAGCTCTTACCCAGCACACAGACCCCCTGCCTGTGGGCAGCGTTGGTCCAGCCCACCGGGGGGATGGTGACTGCGTGGTGGCTGAAGTACACAAAGACGTCGACGTGCTGCCAGTGGTAGAAGGCATAGGGAGTCTGTGCTGCCGAGCCCTGAATGAACCTGGGGAAAGAAACAGCATGGGGCCGGCTGCGGCGGCTCAGGCCTGTATTCCCAGCACTTTGGGAGGCCAAGGTGGGAGGATCACTTGAGCCCAGGGGTTTAAGACCAGCCTGGGCAACATGGCAAAAAACCACCTCTCCCCCTAAAAGTGAAAAAACTTGCCAGGTGTGGTGGCGCGCACCTGTAGTCCCAGCTACTTGGGAGGCTGAAGTGGGAGAACCACTTGAGCCCAGGAGGTCAAGGCTGCATTGAGCCCAGATCGCACCACTGCACTCCAGCCTGGGTGACAGAGTAACACCCTGTCTCAAAAAAAAAAAAAAAGAAAAAAAAATAAGAGTCGGGTCCCAGGAAACAGAATAAGGACACAGAGACCACAGGGGGTCCCCAAAGGTTTCTCCTTAGTTCCATTCAGTCAAGACTCCTGGAAGCCCACCATGTCCAGGCACGGTGCAGCCAGGGAGAGAGGCAGGAGCCAGCTGCCATTCCTGCAGCCGAAGACAAAGCACTCTGACCGGAGCATTAGGCATTTGCCATCGAATCTGATGGACGGAGCATCGCCACTCACTATGAGCAGATGAACAAAGGAGAGAAGGGAAGGGAAGCAGGAAGGCTCATGTCAAAGTCCAGTCTCTGCTTGCCCCTTCTATGCAGAGGGGCAGACAGTCCCTCAGGACACAGTCTCCTGGAATTCAAAGGTTGGGGCTGACAGCAGGGTGAGCTGTGCCCAAGGTTTCATCATCTGCCTCTGTCTCTACCTTGATGGCTGGCTCAGACTCAAGCCTTCCCATCAATTACAGGGTCCAAGATTGTTTTATGGACATGTAAAAGCGCCACATGGACTCCTTGGTAGCTTTGGATGGGACATCTGCAGCTGGGGCGTGTGACATCTCTGTGCATCAAAGCCAGAGCCCAGCGACCCAGAACAGGATCAGAGCTCAAGCAGAGACAAACACCAAAGTGCGTGAGGATTCGAGGGTGGGGGCCGGCAGCCGAAGGGGACCCCTGCCTGCTGTGCCCCCTCCAGTCTACCAGACTGCAAGTCAAGGAGCTTCAAGGAGTCAAAAGGGACATAAGACATTGCCTAAGCCAGTCTTCCCCTTTTTTTTTTTTTTTTTTTTTTTTTTTAGAGTCACAGTCACTCTGTTTCCCAGGCTGGAGTGCAGTGGCTCAATCTCAGCTCACTGCAATCTCTGCCTCATGGTTCAAGCAATTCTTCTGCATTAGCCTCCTGGCTAGCTGGATTACAGGCACCCGCCACCATGCCTGGCTAATTTTTGTATTTTTAGTAGAGGCAGGGTTTCACCATGTTGGCCAGGCTGGTCTCAAACTCCTGAACTCAGGTGATCCACCTGCCTTGATCTCCCAAAGTGCTGGGATGACAGGCATGAGCCACTGCGCCCAGCCTGATCATCCCTTTTTACAGATGAACACTGAGGGCTGCCTTCCTCTCAGTGCAGTCCCTCCAGTGCCCCTCTCCTGACTCCCTGCCCAGTGCTCTTTCTACACATGGCACTCTCTCCCACCCCTCCAGCCCCTACCCCTACCCCAGCAAAGGAAAACAATCAATGTGAGTCCAGGTCCTCACCTGTCATCCAGGTACCCGCCCATCATGTCATGGCACAACAAAGTCCGGGGCCTCTGGCTGCTCAGAGGGGGCTGGCGACACGCCAGGGGCTCCAGGGCCACGTTAAAGCCATCCTCCATGTGGGGCGTCCATGCCAAGAGCTCCTCCAGCGAAGACAAGTAAAAGCTGATGGGTTTAGTGGTGTCCTTGTCATAATATCTAACTGGTCCGAGGACAGAAACATCGAGGAATGAATGGAAATTATTATAGGATTAATGGAAACACTTTGATAATAGCAGAGAAGGAACATGAGAGGGGGTGGGGGCTGACCTGCCCCGAAGCCCCAGGCGTGAAGGTGGAGTCAGTATTCAGAGCCTCCGTCTCCTCACCTGGCAGGGGGTCCGAGGAAAAACTGACCACTTCTCGAAAAACTGTCTCTTCTTCATCATCTTTGATTCTAAGCAAAGAAGGAGTTGTACATTTATAAATTTCTTTTAAAAATAGACTTAGAAGCAAATGGACAAGTTTCACCTAAAGATGGAGGGAGAGAGATTATCTGGCTGACGCTTTTAATATTAACTATAGAAACATTGTATAAAGCAATGAAGTAGCTATAAAAGTCCTGAGGTCGCCTGTATTAGCCACCAGAGCTTGGCTTCTGCATGGACACGTGGCAATGATTACTCCCAAGAATAAAACTTACCCTAGGCCAGACGCAGTGGCTCACGCCTGTAATCCCAACACTGTGGGAGGCCAAGGTGGTTGGATCACCTGAGGTCAGGAGTTCAAGACCAGCCTGGCCAACATGGCAAAACCCTGTCTCTACCAAAAATACAAAACTTAGTCAGGCATGATGGCACACGCCTGTAATCCCAGCATCTTGGGAGGCTGAGGCAGGAGAATCGCCAAGGTTGCAGTGAGCCAAGATTTCGCCACTGCACTCCAACCTGGGTGACAGAGCGAGATTCTGTTTCAAAAATAATAAATAGAATAAACCTTACCCTCTAAAGCAGCCACCCAAATATCACACTCCAAAGACCAGACATATACACTTCACAGGGTCCCCAGGATTTGCTATGGCCAAAGGGCAATATCCAAATACGCAAAGTACAGAAAGTTTCAGGTCATAAGACAGCAGGGGCCAGGCTTTCCACCTTCCCTCCGCGCCTTCCATGCTGTTCATGCATGGATGCTACAGGGAGAAAGAGTTCCTTCAGCACATTAACGTGGAACGCCCCTGAATACATCTCAAACCACTTCCTGTTAAAAATTTATTTTATTTTTTATTTTTATTTTTTATTATTGTTTGTTTGTTCGTTTTGAGATAGAGTCTCGCTCTGTTGCCAGGCGCCCGGCTGGAGTGCAGTGGCGCGATCTTGGCTCACTGCAACCTCCACTTCCCAGGTTCAAGTGAGTCTCCTGCCTCAGCCTCCGGAGTATTTGGGATTACAGGTGTCTCCCACCACGCCTGACTAATTTTGTCTTTTTAGTAGAGACAGTGTTTCATCATGTTGGACAGGCTGCCCACAAAATCCGGAACTCAAGTGATCCACCCACCTTTTTAGGCCAGGCGTGGTAGCTCATGCCTGGGATTACAGGCATGAGCTACCACGCCTGGCCTAAAAAATTATAATTATTTTAAGATCAGTAAGACACTGCAGTGACTATCGCCCAAGGCTACTTCTTTGTTCACTGAGCTGTCATCTGTCTGCACCCCACCGCCATTCAGAGGCCTGTGGCCAAGAGTCCTCGGTAGCTTCTGCCACCACCAAACAGACCCGGGTCCTCCAGAATGGCACTGAGAGACCCTGAGGACTGCAAGGCTGGGGGCAGATTCAAGCAGAGATGCCACAGAAGGTGCTCCTCTCCACCCTCCTTTTCCCAAGCCCCCTCCCTTGTTGATGTCCTTATTATCCTTCAGCCGCCCCCTCCTGGGCCTTCTCAGAGCAATCCTCACCCACACGAGGTCACCTCTGTCACCTGTCATTCCTCCACGAGGAGGGAAACAGCCATCTCCACATTCCTCCTGTCCAAAAATACCTTTCCCGCCAGCCCCCATCCCGCCATCACGAGGCTGAAATGCCAGCAGTCTCATTGCTTTGGGTTAAACAAAGCTACGGCTGCAGTTTCCAGAAGCCAAGTCTGTGCTCCTAACTTCCCCTCTCCCCGCCCCGCCCCCGCAACCTACTGAGGGGGGGTTTGCTGGGCGGGCAGATGTCCCAGAAAGGAAGGAAGCCTGGCCCAGAGGGGCACGTTCGTCCCTTTCCGTCTCTGTGCCTTGGCCCATTCTGTTCCCCGCCGCTGGATACCCTACTCCCACTCTCCACCTGCTGAAGGCTTCCTCCTCCCCAAAGACTCAGTTCTAATGTCACCCCTGCAGAAGGCCACCCCTTCCACCAGCCGGCATCCCCTGAGCCACGAGCACCGCCGCCGGGATCTTCCGCACAGACAGGCGGCGTGGGAGGCAGGGGTCTGGCCGGGGCGCCGGGATTCCCGCGGGGCCCCACGGCCACTCGGGTTTGCATTTCTGGGGGTCAGGCACGGGGGCCGGAGGCGGTTGCCCGGCAGTGGCGCAGGGACGGCGGGAAGGACAGGGACGGAGGGGCGCTGCCACCCGCTGACCCCTGCTGTGCTCGGAGCCGACCCCGGCGCCGGCCCCCAGCCCCTCGGCGCCCCCGTGCGGGGGAACCTCGGGCCCGCAGATCGGGGGGCCATCCGGGCCCCGCAGTCCCACCTCCTCCCCGGCCGCCGCCGCCGCGGCCGCGGCTCCTGCTCCTCCTCCCGCGTCCCCGCCTCCGCGGCCGCCGGCCCCTGCCGCTCCCGCTCCCGCCGCCGCCGCCGCGCAGCCGATCGGGTCACCGCCACCGCCGCGGCCTCCATGACACCGTCCGCGCGGGTGGCGCCTCGCCCGGCCCGAGAGCCAATCGCAGGCCCAGGCCAGCCCCCGCGCCGCGCTCGGCCAATGGGAAGTGCGCAGCGCTCACGCCGCGCTGGGAAGGGACTCCGGACCACCGGGCCCCGCGGCCTGGACTTTGTAGCGGAGACAGCCCGGGGGCGGGGCCGAGGGCGGGGAGGGGCGGGCCCGAGGGCGGGGCGGGGCTGCGGGCGGGGCTGCGGGGGGGGCGGGGGTCGGGGTGGGGCCGGGGTCGGGGTGGGGCCGGAGGCGGGGCCGGGGCCGGAGGCGGGGCCGAGGGCGGGGCGGGGCCGCGCGGGAGGAGGTCGAAGGTGGGCGGGGCTGTGAGGGAAGTGGTCTGGGAGAGTTCGAGCCCAGGGTTCGCCGTCGTTGTTGTTGTTGCCCATCTTTGGGTATGAGTCCAGGGTTCTAGAAGGCTCTAGGAGACTTCGGAAGGCCCCAATCTGCGAGGTCCCTCTCGAGCCTCACCAGCCTCATTTTTCGAACAAATTAAGGTTGATCCCAGAGAGATGAAGCAATCTCCCAAAGAGCACAAAGTCACCAAATGGTGAAAATGACACTAACTCGTCCAGCTAATCCCTATTAAAAGATCATTTTCAGGCCGGGCGCGGTGGCTCTCGCCTGTGATCTGAGCACATTGGGAGCCGGGCGTGGTGGCCGGCGCTTGTAATCCCAGCTACTTGGGAGGCCGGGACAGGAGAATCACTTGAACCTGGGAGGCGGAGGTTTCAGTGAGCCGAGATCGCGCCACTGCACTACAGCCTGGGCGACAGAGCGAGATTCCTCCCTCCCAGAAAATGAAAAATCAGAAAAAGGTAAAATCCTGATTCTCTTTACAATATAAATATCAACACATGTTAAAGATTTTATTCTACTCGTTAATCAACCAAGGAACCAGACCAGTGTTATTATTTAATATATATCCGGTCCAAAGGGGACTCCCAAGAGAGGCTCCTGTTGGAAATGGAGCCCGGAAGTGGATGTGGGAGCAGGCAGAAGGTGTCTTTCCACGGCTGGGCATAGAGGTGGGGACAGGGGAGGTTGTGGCACCCCTACTGCACAAGACAATGTGCATGTCCCTCAGATCCTCACAACCTACAAATAGATGTAAAAAAAAAAGACTATGAGGCCGGGCGTGGTGGCTCACGCCTGTAATCCCAGCACTTTGGGAGGCCGAGCTGGGCAGATCATCTGAAGTCAGGAGTTTGAGACCAGCCTGGCCAACATGGTGAAACCTTGTCTCTACTAAAAATACAAAAATTAGCCAGGTGTGGTGGTGCATGCCTGTAATCTAAGCTACTCGGGAGGCTGAGGCCAGAGAATCACTGGAACCTGGAAGGCAGAAGCTGCAGTGAGCTGAGACTGTGCCACTTCACTCCAGCCTGGGCGACAGAGGGAGACTCCGTCTCTAAAAGAAAAAAAAAGATGATGAAAGTTAGTATCTGACCACGTGGGAGCTGGTGCCCTATGTAGGTTGCATAGTTTTCCAGTGAAACACAGATTTCTTTCCACAGCTCCAAACCCGTGTTCAACAGTAGTAGTTGCTATGCCCCTAAGTGTGCAGGGCCTGGAGTGGCGCCTCTGCAAGGGTGGCACTGCCCACATCTTAGGCACAGAAGGAGTTCACAGGAAACATGATAAAACAGAGGCCTGGAAGCTAGAATCCAAGGCTGGGCCCCACAGGACAAAAAAACCAAGGCTCTCCTCCCTCCAGGACCCAACGCCCTTCCGCAACGAGGAGCTTCCAGTGCTGGGCTGCAGCTGCTCCCCGAGCCAAGCTGACTGGGCCTTTCTTATTGTTGCAGACTTTGAACTTTATAAGGCTCCAAGCTTCCATAAACGCCAAGGGTGGGAACCGTGACTAAGGTTGTTGAATATGGGCCATGGTGCAGGCCAGCCAGTTAGGCAGGAAGGACGAGCCAGGGGACACGCCGACCCATGGGGATGACAGAGATGGCAGAGGCCTCTTCCCTGGGGCTTCAGCCCTTGCAGTGGGCGAGGGCAGTGGATCAGCAGGCTCACTCCTGCCGTGTTCAGGAGTGCATCAGACGTAGTCAGTCTTGATTAGGTATGTGTCTGCCCAGGTATTCCCAAGCCCTCACCTGTGGCTTAGCAATAAAAATTGATAAACTTTCGTCCTGCCCAGGTTAGAACACGGCTCTAAGGGATACTCTGAACAGCCCTTGGATAATGCCTAGTCTCTGGAAAAAAATATGCCCAAACCTCCCTTCTCATCCTCCTTTCCAAAGAGCAGGCATCTGGTCCAGAAGAGCAAGAAGGTGAAAGTCGCCCACAGTCCCCTGAGGACAGAGAGGACTCAGATCTTGTGGCCTCTTGTTAGCCCCTGTGGCTCCTGGTCTCTCTGGGGGTCAGGCCAAGCCCGGAGGGGCCATGTCTGCCCTTGAGCTCACATTGGCTCACGCTGGGGCTCTGGACCCATTTGAGGCCTGAGTGGGCCCTGTAAAACCCTAACCTTCCAGGGTTTCCAGGTGAAATACAGAGCAACCAGTTAAACCTGAACTGCAAATAAATGACACCCGGGACATAGGACAGGCGTATACTAAGATGTTATTGCATAGTTATCTAAAATTCAAACTGAACTAGGACGCTGCCTGTGCGTTTGCTCAGTCTGGCATTCCTACCTGTGAATCTGCACTACAGCCTCAGGAGAGCCACCCTGTCCTGTTATAGGGGCCCCTCTGACCCCCCGCTGCAGGCTCTCGGCTGTCCCGGCCTCTGCTCACAGCAGTAGAGGAAGCCTGGTTGGTTCAGGACA